GCATGCTGACACTGACACTTTGCAGATCATTGACTTCCTGGTTGTTTTCCCACCTCAAGTGCGGGCTCTCGAACTTGTTCGATCGAACAGCAATACTGAGAAAGACATGTTCCCGTTGGAAAGACCGTTCAAGGCCTTGTACTCCTTGAATACACTCTCAATGTGTCTCCATGAGGAGGCTGCAGAGGTGAGTCCGTCGCTTTTGTTAAGAATGATATTCGTGCTAAAGATCGTTACAGATGTCTCCAGACCAAGATTTTGTGTCTCATAGCAACCAGGTTTTAGTTGCGTTCCTGACGTCAGATGAACTGTTCAGCTCCCTCTCCGGCAATTCGATAACTACTGTGCTCGCTACGAGAGCCATTGAATGTCTTCTGCTGGCTATATCTGGTATGTTGAATCCTAAGCATTGTTTGGTAAATGGGCTTCAACTGATTTTGACCTAGTCCACCGCCCGACTGATGATGAGTCCGTTCTTATTACCGACCCAATGTCTTTGGTCCGACGCGTTCTTGACCTGCTTGAAATTGGCCGCACCAGTCCTGCAGATCCACCGGCCGGTACATGCGCCCAAAGTTTGATTTGCAATTCCTTTGCGGTTCTAGTCGAGGGGTCATTGCGTGACCTTAATGTCTGGAATGCTGTTAAACAGCATGCGCAGTTTGATAGCCTGATCCAATCTCTACTCCTGGAAGAAAATCGCAAGCCAATCCGGACTGATATCTTGGAACGCTTGAAGATAATTTGCGGCCCGCTGAAACCGTTTAAGCTGTCAATGGAAAAGCCTGATACGGAATCTTCAACTGCGGAAAACCCCAACCGGATTGACATGCTTGCCACTCTTTGGTCTTCATTTTTACAAGTGATACCCAGGACTGTTGACCATGTTCCCCAGTCGGAGGAGTTCTTCAACGCTGCTCTGTGGATGTTCCGTGCAGTCGCACAAAAATCACCTGGGGACTTGATCTTCAACAAGTATCTTCAACAATGGAGTGCAGTTATGCTCTCTCACCAAACAGAAGAGGTATCTCCATCCCAAAAAACCAACAAATACTGTTTACTAACGACTCATAGATTGTTGGGCGTGAACAGGCAGATAATTTGATCATCGGGTTTTCTGCTTTGTTAGAATGGTGTCTGGAATTGGCCAACGCGGCAGGTGTCACTCTGGACAGTTCGTATGTCACACGTCTCCTGATCAAGTTTTCAGGCATGTCTAACTCGAGTTTAGGAACGTCGCCGAGCAAATATTCACTCAGTACCTGTTCCCTGATTTCTCTCCAGACACGGTGGAGCATGCAGTCCCTCGGGTTCCGGTCATGCACAGCTACACTCGCTCAAGCCTTTACAACGTCGTCAACTTGTTGTGCAAACAGAGCGATGGGACTTACTGTGAAATTTTGGAGCTCCTCAACACAAATGTTCCACGAGGTTCGCACTGATCTTTGCCCATTGTATTTTATCTTCACACCAAGCTAACCGCAACTCTAGACTCCCCTTATCTGGAATATGGCTATAACAGACAGCTAATGCTCCGATCCCCGGAAGGTTATGCGGGCCTCAAGAATCTCTCGAACACGTGTTACCTCAACTCCCTCATGACGCAACTTTTCATGAATATCGAGTTCCGAGCGTTTATCCTGAATCTCCCCATCGCTGATCGTATCTCCCAAAAGCTACTCTATGAAACCCAGCGACTGTTTACATGGATGCAGGAGACTTGGAGCAAGAGCATTGAACCCTCAGACTTTGTGAAAAGCATTCTCACATACGACAACGAGGAGATTGATGTGACCGTCCAGATGGACGTTGATGAGTTCTATAATCTTCTCTTTGACCGCTGGGAGGCCCAGGTCCTCGATACCGAAAAGAAGAAGAAGTTCCGGTCTTTCTATGGAGGGCAGCTTGTTCAGCAAATCAAGTCAATGGAATGCGATCATATCTCAGAAAGACTTGAGCCATTCTCTGCAATTCAGTGCGAGATCAAGGGGAAGGCGACTCTTGAAGACAGTTTGCGAGCATACGTAGCAGGCGAGGTGATGCAGGGAGGTGAGTTAATACTGCGTTGCTAACGGCGTTCAAATTCTAACAAGCTTTCAGATAACAAATACTCTTGTACCTCGTGTGGACGGCATGTCGATGCTGTTAAGCGGTGAGTGACAATGAGATAGTAACATAGACGTGTTTTCTGACTCCTATCTAGTGCTTGCCTGAAAGATGTTCCTGACAATCTGATCTTCCATCTGAAGCGCTTTGACTTCGACATGGTGCACATGCTGAGAAGCAAGATTAATGACGAGTTCCAATTCCCTCATCACATCGACATGACTCCCTACACGGTTGAACATCTATCTGATCCGGAGCAGACCATTGTACCGGATGTCTTTGAACTGGTTGGGGTTCTTGTGCACACTGGAACAGCCGAATCGGGTCACTACTACTCATATACCCTTGAACGCCCGTCGTCTGGCGGCGAAGCAAACTGGGTCGAGTTCAACGACTCCGATGTAGGCAAATTTGACCCTAGCACAATTGCAGGACAATGTTTTGGTGGCCCGAGTGAGACCATGCAGTACACGAATGGAGCCCCCAAGAACAAAGTGTGGAATGCATACATGCTGTTCTACCAACGCGTGTCCACGATCGAGAAGTGCAAAGAAGTCTTCAAGCAAACGAAGCCCGGCATCCCTATACACCTTCCGGTGTCAATTTCAACCCAGAATTACATTGCCATGGACAACGAAATGCTCATTCGGATTTACTGTCTTCTAGACCCACAATATGCATACTTCGTGGGCAGATTGCTTCAGCGGTGGCCTGACATGGCAACGGAAAACCCCAGCAAGACTATGGTGGAGTCATTGGCCATCAATGTTGGAATGGACACCATTGAGCAGTTGGTTTCGCGTACCAAGTATTTCCAAGGACATCAGGAGATTTACAACGAACTCGTCGACATGATCAATAAAAGCCCCAATGCGGCTCAATCGATGCTTGAGTGGGTTATCAACCGACAAACCTCAATGTACAATCTTGTGATCAAGACGCAGAACCCAGAAATCCGAACCAAGGGCATTTTGCTGATTAATAATGCCCTAAAACATCTCCACTTGATGTCGACAAGCGAGGACCTCAATGAAGAGGAACGGATCTCATGGCGCGACCGATTCGATGAAGCCATTCAGCAAATTGTGCCAATGTTGACAGCTCTCTGGACCGAAGTTCAGTCCGCTTTCCGTGTCTGGGATGACTACTTTGGCTTCTTATTGAAGCTTTGCAACTATGGTCCGGAGCTCATTCAGGTCTTACTCGACCAAGGTCATTTTGCTGTCTGTATGGAGATTCTCTGGATCGACGAAGAAGATAGGAAGAAATTGCGGATCCGGTATCCCAATTACGTACGCCTCCTGAACAAAGGACGCCGCTTTAACCACATGATTTTGCTGTCATTGTGCTTGGTCTTTTTCAGGCACATTGACCTTTCGCTCCGCCCAACTCCCATTGGCGTACAACGGCGTGTTTTGAATGGGAAGTTCTCGGCCAGCATCAGAGAAATGGAACTCATCAAGCCCGTCGAAGCTGATGGGTCCTTGTCTATCTTGCTGAAGCTTCTAAAGCATGAGACTCTTGCCAGGAGCCAGACTACCCGTGCGATCCTTGGAGTTCTGTTAGACGGAGAGCCTGAAGCAGGTTTGCTGGATTCGATTCAATTGACACTGGAGAATGGCGTCAGGCTCGAACCCGCCATCCAGTGCACACCATTCCTGGAGGCAGCCACAACTTTCTGCCAGCGTTGTCCGGACAAGGGGCGAGTCATTGACATGATCGACTTCATTGCCAAGGGGGTCGAAAGCATTGATAACAGCGGCGGCCAGGAGCATATTGACTTCTTCATACGTCTTTGCCGCGGTAATAACCAGCGGCTGAACATGGACTCTGTGGAATTCACCGAGATTGTTCTTGACAGTATCTCGGTCTGGGCCCCGACCTTGCTCATTGACAAGGACGAGACTGTCCGTCGCAGTATGCAAAATATCCTTGACGAGATGGTCTTCAACGATAAGATCGTGGAGTCCAACACAGAGGACTTCGAACAGAATGGCGAATGGCAGACCACTATCACACCGGAGCGACGCCATAGCATTTGCCGCCGGCTGCCGAACGCCTGCATCGAGCGGCTCAAGTCGGCATTCCTAACCGATCAGATTAACCACATTGACGCCAGACTACTCGAGAATATTACTCCGGTGATCAACTATTGTCTTGCTACTTTCTATGACGACTCTGAGGCCGACCAGCAAGAGGTTCAACAGGTCACTGGTATGTTTGAGTGTATACACTTACTGTTCCTACACCCCCACTAACACAAGTCTCTCAGAAATCCTCTCTCTACTTAAATCGATGTCGCTAGAAGAAGTTCCCGATGATCCGCCTTCCGGTATGCTCCAATATCTATCCCTCCTGAATGGCCCTGGAACATCATCTAACCCGATCCCCCTAGAATCGGACGTGGCGTCAGTCGAGGAATGGGATGCAAACTCTGCGATCGCAAGTGATTCCGAAATGGGAGTCGCTGGATCTCCTTAGACAATGACCTTTCCTGCTGCAAAGTGCTTTTTGTTGTGTTTATTTTCCATGCGTTTTTTGCGATGTCAATGGATTCAGCGAGCACAATGTGTGCCTGTGATTAAAGGCAAATTCTCATACCTCACGGATTTTACGAATTGTTGCTGTTGTTTTTTTTTTCCCCTTACGATGCTTGTGGTTACTGGCGTTTTCTTTTGCTCATGGTGAGCCGGAGTAGGATTTATTTCTATGAAGGGTGGCTTTGGACGGACAAGTCATCTACATGCATTTCGCAAGCCTATTTCGGGACATTGAAATGAAAGAGTTTCTGGTCTCGAGACCTTACTCTTTGAGTGAATTGAATTCAACAAAAGTTCGTAGAGCATTATTGTTCATTTCGTTCAACGAGTAACATGGATATTTATCTTGTTTGATTAACCCTCTTCCTCTCCGCCAGCTGGAGCATCGCCCTCATCTTCTGATTCGACCTCCACGGCAGCAAGTGCATCCCGTTGAGCCTGCGGGGCGGGGGGAGCCCCGCGATTCCTTTTACCGGCCTTGGGGCTACCGGGTTCAGCAGCGGTAGGCGCAGTAGCAAGTTTGGCCGCTGGAATACCACCAGAAGTAACATAGAGGAAGTAACCCGCGGGGAAGTGATCGATATGGTTGAAGAAAGAACCAAAGCTGCAGTCAAAGTCAGTATTGTCTTAATGCGAGATCAAATGAGGGAATTGGAATAATGTCATACCCAGCACTTTCTTCCTCCTCTCGGAAAATCCGATCATAGATCTCCCGCTGCTTGAACTCATTCATCTCCGCCTCAAACTTCTGGAAATTGATCGGCTGACGATCAAGACCCTGTGCCTTGGCATTGTAAGCGTCGAAAATAGGGCGCTCGAGCAAGAGGCCCAAACCAGGCGCTTTGGGAATAGCAATGCGCTCAGGGCCATATGTCTCAGTGATGCGGTCTGGGTGGCAGCCGGAGCGGACAACCATCGCAGCCATGGCGACCATTTTGCGGATTTGGTGCATCATGAAACTCTGTCCGTGGACCTTCAGGCTGAGCCATTCCGTGCCATTGATGATAATCGGCGTGGTGTTGACCTTGAATGACTTGATGTGTCGTTTCGCCGAGGGGTCCTTGAACGTCTTCTGGATCGTGTAGTTGTGGAAGTTCTTGGTGCCTTCGTAGCGGTTGAGACATTCTTGCAAGCGGGCGATGCGTGAAGCGGGTGCGCGGTAGGCGCGTTTCGCGGTCAAATATGCTGCTTTGATGGCCTTGATGGCGTCGTTGATGGCCTTTTGGCGGGGGTCCATGACAAAGGGCTTGGGCTCTGCATCGGCGGGCTGTTCAGTCGCGGGCTGTTCGTTGATCTCCTGCTGAGTGGGTTCAACGGCTGGTGCCGAAGAAACCTCCTTCTCTTCTGAAGGTTGGAGTGCATCGCGGGACTCGTCCTGGTAGAGAGACTTTTCGACGATACTGCGGATATTTTCCGGCAGGTTTTCCAAAATAGGCTTGATATATTTCACATCAACGTCTTCCCAATAGCTTGCGACCTCTTCCTGTCTAGCTGTGACGGCGTCCAAGTCGCCTGCTTTCTCGGAAAGCTCAACGATTTTCTTTCCAAGATAGGTGCTTGGGTGGGGTGGCAGAAGACAGTGGCTTGGCATCAGGTATTCGTAAACTCGGGAATCGCACATCTGGTAGCAGCTGAAGCTTTTGCTGGTAACTTCATAGCCCCAGACACGGATTTGGGGGCTGAGCTCGGCGTTGATTTTCTGGATGATATCCTCATCTTCGACAATCATCTTCAGCGACACAACGTTTCCAGCTGCGTGAACACCCTTATCTGTGCGGGCACAACGGACGAAAGAAGATTTCTTAGGATCCGCGGCGTTCGCCTTGGAAACGGCGCCGACATTGACGAGGGCCGTGAATAGATCACCTTCAATAGTGCGTTGCTGCTCGTTCCTATAACATACCTTGTCAGCACAAGGAATGGCCATATACTGAACAAGGAAAGACTTACAGTTGCATCCCAGAGTATCCGGTCCCCGAGTACCCCATTAGAAGCGCAACCTTCTTTTTGGGGCGGCGTTCCTCGCTGTCGATCTCCTCCTTGGAGAATTGGGTCGCGTAGATCGGCAATTTGACCTCTTCACCATTCTCAATCTTGCGACGCTTAGATTCAGCCTTGTCCTCATGACGCTGACGCTTGTCTATCGCTTGACGACTTAATTAGTTAGCTGACAATGCGAAGAACGAGAGGTTACGATTGATGCGACATACCTCCATTCCGCTCGCCCCATATCGCGGTTCTTACGCCTTCCACCACCTGCGCCTCCTGCTCCTGTGTTGTCGGCCATTGTATCCGCTGGAATATCTCTGATAGCTCCGCACGAGGTGCAGACGGGTCGCGCCAGAAAGACCGGTAGAATTGACGACTAACAGCGTGTTGCGGGGTGTTGTGGGGGAACGATCGAATTATAATCGAGCTTCTGGGTGCAGTTACGATCCCAAAAAGGTTCCGCTGGTGAATGATCGAGGCACGCATGAAAATCAATATTTCGGGGAAATTTGCCCTTCGTCTCCGCGCGGTTCATCTTTTCGATAATATCGGTACTAGTCTATTCTAGGACTAGTGTATAGATAAACCAGACTAGCCGTATCTGGTCATATTTCAGCCTGAGGAATCAACTTTGCATGTGATGTGCAGCTCCGGGCTTTGAACCGGAATTGCAACAATTGTTCAATCAACAAGCTCGGCGCTGCCTGTCGCTCAAGCGCACTATCTCTCTTCTGTCGTGGACCCATTCGCTCCTTTTGCTGCTTTTGATCAAAGCATGCTTGTCTTTTCCAATATCTTAACACTGCGACTTATCGCCTTGCGCTCCCGTTGAATTCTCTCCCGGCCTTTTTTCCCAACTACCATCTTTTGCCCCGGAGCTTCTGCAACCATGGATCTTTCAAAGACGCTTATCCGAACAGTGGCGCGGGCCTTTTACGAGACCCGTCACATATTGATTGTCGATGCGCTTTTCTTACATTCAGTGTATGATGAGAGTGGATCTCTGTTGAATGGTCACATTGCTGACTAGCTACAGCCTTCACGCTGAGGATCTCGCCTTCTTAATGGGCATGCAACAAAAGGACCTCCGCAAGCTTTGCGCCAGGCTTCGAGAGGACCGCATGATAGGAGTGTATGTCACTTTTCCCTGACACAACCTACAACAAAGGGTGGAAAAAACCAGACTGATCCAGTTCTATATTGAATAGGAGCACACGCGCCGAGATACGTGATGGCTCTACTCGCCCAGTCAACCGCGAATACTATTACATCCCCCTGCATCCGGTCGTCGACGCGATTAAATACAAAGTCTCCAAGTTGACAGCCACCATTAAAGCGCAGTACACACCGAGTGAGGAGCGCAAGGAATACATTTGCGTACGATGCAAATCCGAGTGGACCGAACTGGACGTACTGAGTCTGGTTGGAGACGAAGGGTTCGAATGTCAAAATTGCGGCGCCATCCTGGAACGGACCGAGGATGTCAAGGGTGTTGAAGGAATTGAGCGTACAGGTCACGAGAAAAACAGTAAACTCATGGCACAGCTTGACAACATGCTCAAACTGCTCAAGCAGATTGACTCGGTCGAAATCCCGCCGAATGACTTTGAGACAGCGTGGGATCACAAGGTGGAGGTTATTCGGAACCAGAACACACACCCGGTCCGTGCCGCGATTGCTGTTCCACCCAAGGCCCAGGACATCACACGTCCCAACGCCAAGACGGATGCTGCTGCACTGGAGATCTCTCTCACCTCAAGTGAAGAGAAGAGTGCCGCCGAGCAGGCCGAGGAAGCCGCTCGTAAAGCAGCACTTGAAAAGCAAAACGCGCTTCCAGTTTGGCACACACATTCTACGGTCAATGCAGCACAGGCTGGCACTTCTCAGACCAAGACCGAGATGGGCACCGTGGTGAAGCCTGAGCTTGCGGATGAGGATCAGAAACCCAGCGTGGATGCCTTGGACGACAAAGTCGCCGCTTACTACGCTGAAATGGAGCGGGAGAAGGCGCTACAGGCACAAGCAGATGCTAGCAGTGCAGACGATGACTCAGACGAGGAAGACTTTGAGGATGTTGAGGGAATCTCCGGTCCAAGCGGACCAGGTACGCCCGCCATGGCTGGCGGCATTACTAGTGTCCCTACCACATCTTTTGGTGGCGCTGGAATCAAGCGTGAACTCGAACCGACCTCTAGTGCCCCTCAATCATCAGTTGGGACTCCGTCTACCCCTGCTGACGATGGACCTGCTGCAAAGAAAATCAAGGCCGACCCTGATATCAAGCCTGATCCTGATGCCAAAATCGAGGCCGAAGTCAAGAAGGAGGCCGAGGAATCCGATGAGGACGATGAGGAATTTGAAGATGTTTAATGAAATGAAAAAAAAAAAGCAACATTGGCGCTGGCGCCGAATAATTATGGCAGACCGGGGATCCCGCCCTGAGGGCTTGCAAAACCACTGAAATTGTGCATAGCTATAGAATTGCATTTTCCCCAATCTTCAAGACTCCACAATAATCAAATTACATTGATAACATTGATTGCAGCGAGCAAAACACAAAACGAACACACTAGAGTTAGGCTATGAAAGAATCCTGATAGTAGAGTCGGATGATTCGTCGTGCCCTCGCATCACTCTTAACAATGTGGTTCATCACGGAGTAGACGACTTCCGTTCGACATCGCAACTGGTCTCTAAAATCGAAGTTTGTGAATGGTTGCAGCTCTTTATAGCTTTCCAGCAAGTGACTCCGACTAAGAGCGACAGTCTTATCCTCATGAAATTCGAAAGAAGCAAAGGTTACATATGATTGAGGTAACGGATGCCGCTCATTGGATTTCCAGTCCAGATACCTACATTCTACTAGTAGTAACGAGTTTAATGTCTCTATTAAGGAGACCACATTCCTTCTACATTCCAAATTGTCTGATAACAGATTTACGTACTAGTAACGTATTTCACATGCGAGCTGTCCACATATACGAGGCGTCTACACATATAAGGCGTCCACATATGCGGGGCATCTACACGTCTAAGGCGTATATACGAGACGTCCCATATGCGGGGGGCGTCCATATTGTCATGATCTACGTGATCACATGCCTCCTTTATTTGCTTGTTTCTTTGTTCTTTGTTACTATTCCTATTCGGGTAATATTATACTACCTATTCGGGAAAGAATTTGTTTGCTTGTTGGGATAGCTCTGCTATAACCTAGGATTTACCACTTGCTTCTTTCTCCTTCCCTATATTTGCTTTTCTAACTGGAATGTACTCTTGTTAAATGAACTGGCACGTTACACATATATGCGAGGCGTCCGCATATGCGGGGGCCGCACATTCCAGTCCACACGTTCTAGTCGTCCACATATAGTAAAAGCGATATTGTTGTCATTTATATTCTAACAACGGTTGTATCTAATTTCATGACTTGCTGATAGCAATCAATGAGCAAGTTTAGTATTATATATTAACTTCAAATAAACTAAATACGTATATCGTTGTCGTTGTATCAAAAACTACATCGCTGAACTCTAGTATATCTCAATCACTAATTTCTTAAATTCCCTTATAAGACCAGGGGGTGGTGTTACAACTTAGAAACAGTTACTGTACGGTGTGCTTTAGCGTGGACCACTCGCATCAATAAATGAGATATCACAAACATTCAAGGCCAGAGTTATGTAATTACTATACAAGATAATAGTATTATAGACGTGCGAAAACCTATAAAAGGCCCTCTACCTCGAGTGTTCGAAAGTGATCTCTATCATCTTCATCCTCCATTATTCAACTCACCACTTATCAGCACTCACTGCCAGTCTAACTCCTAAACCACCTACAACCACCTACACTATTAGCTATGAAGGCCTTTTACTCCGCTCTTACCTTCCTTTTCCTATTCGGTGCCAGTTTGGCCAGTCCTCTAGAGGTTGCCGCAGATTCTCCAGAAAGGACACAAGCCTGCTGCCCTACGACTCAGAGCGCCGATGTTAGTCACTTAGGAATCCGTATACCAAGGTCCATATCAGCTGACATTCTTATAGCGGTGCAGTGATGGAACCAAGGGTACCCCATATTGCGGGAAAGGCCGTACGATCCCTTAGTGAGTGCCCTTGAAGCTTGAACCACTATCTGACATTTCTCTGCAGCTTGCAATATCTTCGGATGTAACTGTGATGGCGGATGCCGCTAAGCCCTAAGCGCTGTTTAGTCTTTTATGCGCACTCAACTTATTCCATATGTCATTGAGATATACAGTTTTTATACTGTATGGGTTACTTTATGTCTTGGTATAGGTTTTTCCCTGCTGTGTGGTTTCCCTATATCTTAGTGCAAATGCAAAGGCATAAATGAACATTCCGGCAGGATTTTTTGTGTTAAGGAGAGATCTTACGAAATCATAGTGCTCGAGTAAGGGGCCCTTAAAAGTAAATGAAAAAGGATATAAAAGGACCTGGTACTAGATGACTGTTGTGATCTCTTTAGGGGCGTGCTTAAAGTTGTGCTTAAAGTTGTGCTTAAAGTTGAGACGGTGAGCGGGGCGCTGGAAACGGCTCCCATTGCACCGCCCCTCTGCCGTCCCCGACCGCTTGCCTGTCTCCACCATCTCCTTGCCCTTTCGGGTTTGGCGCCCTCACCCTTTGGTTTAGCCCCGTGGCCGCTTTTACCGCCCCGGCCATCTGCCATGCATCTATATACTATGATCTACGCAGGACCCACATCCTGAACGCGAGGAAGCTACCTTTTGTATCTAGAGTCGACTATAGCTTTCTTTAATATTGATCATTGATCTGTATACGCTGTCCTCATCTACGGATACGTGAGACCCTCACAGAGACCCATTCCCAGAATCATATGCGGCCCCGGGATCCAGAAAAGTGGACAGAGCACGGTCTTGTCCAGGAGGATATCTTTCTTGCAGCAGACTTGGGGTATTAGGAAACGCGTGATTTAGGGTGGAGACTGCTGCTTGGTCAATAATATCCAATGAACACGGTCACGTACCAAGCCCTCGCCTGGTTATATAATGAGAGGTTTGCCTTCTTGTAGTCCGATCCAATGGCTGACATTCACTTCCTCGTGGCTTCTCTATTACCTCGTGCTTAGCGCCTCTCACCCGGGAAAATTGATAAAGTATCTCCCAGGGGCAAGTGGATCGTCTCAGGGGACGTGACATTCCTGGAGTCAGAGACTATCCAGAAACCTCTCTTACTTTGCGGGGAGCCTCAAAGCTTGGGAAAAAAAATTTAATTGCAAGAAATTTTGGCTACGCGACCACAAGATTGATTACGGGGGCTGTGGGTTCTCCAAAGAGGTCGATGGCTGGCAATAATTTGTGACGCGACGTGGCGGTGCTACTAATGTTTACCATGTCAAACAAATACAAAAAGCCCGTGGGATCCTTTTCTGCGCTGCGGTTACTAGCATTCTTTTTTGATTCCTTGAGACGATCGGCTACGTCCATCTTCATAGTAGAGAACATGAAATTCGTTGCAGCCAACAGCAAGGTTTCTGTGCCAAAAGTTCACGCCAACTTTGTTAGGGTCAAAGGAACCTCTTGGGTCATATTTCATACCCTGAAGTAGATTTCCAGTGACGTGGTAGAGACACCCTCCTTCAGACGTTCGGGGGGCGGCGGGGTTGGTTTCAATGTAAATGGCTCATGATTAGGTGCACCAAGATATTCGACCGTGTAGACACTAAACGACATATTGGAAGAGTCTGGGGACGTTGTGGTATCAAACAAACTGGATAACGCTTTCTTGCTAATGAGAGCTGCTATGCCCGTACGAGTCCCCTCTTTTGCCGCAGTGTACATAATGAATGCGCTCAGTAGGTTGACAGATACTAAACCCTCCTCTCTTTTACGTCTCTTTATGCAGACATATCACATCACAAGTCAGCCACCAGCCACAAAAGAAACGCCGGGGAGGCCAACCAACAACGTACGGGTCTGCGCGGCCGACAAATTGGACTCACGAATTGTTTCAATTTCCTTCCATGAATCTGTGGCACAACTGTAAACGCCCGAGATTCCCAAAATTAGATTGTCTGCGCTGGATAAAAACGTGGCAATTGGCCAATCACACTTACATTGTCCTGTGATGCGACTACAACGAACGTATCATTAACGTGAATGTCAGCTTGCTTCCCTCGACAATTTTTCCTACTATGTGGATAGGTCCTGAGAGCATCATTAAACGTGGTTTGATAGATGAATGCAACTTCCGGCTTCATCTCAGTTATAGAATTTGTGGAATCCGGTCATGGTAAAGAACCCCACAGACATAGTATGAGCTGGAGAACTGGGATGTCAAAATGTGGTTAGCGTAGCTCTTACTCTCGCTGAGAGTGTCACTAGACCAAAACAAGCAGCACAGTGTCTGTTATAAGATGGATAGATGGATAGATAATTTCATTTCCCCTGACGTCTCGCTTTTGGCGATATACAGGCTACCACAATGATGGTAAATAGGGTTCTGTTTTATGCAAGCCACCGGGTACGATGTGATAGTAGAAGAAATTATATGCACCACTGCATCGCTGTGAAAGACATATTTCAAGATATGGACACATTACATCTTTAGCGGGGGTGCATTCAAGATATATTCCTTGGCTGAAATATCCAAGCAAAGAAAGAGATTGAATATTCGTCCGAAATGAACCTATAATGCGACCTAATTGATCATCTAGCTGGTCAACTACTTTCTATTTCTGCTATTGACCTGGAAGATATTAAAACATAACAGGCTTTTGCAGGGCTCCGTTCTAGGGCTTCTATTCTACTCAAGGCCTCTCTTCAAGCAATTTCCTCTACCAGCCAGGTCCTACGTTATTGAAAATGACATGAAGCGATTGGATCTTCACGCGACGTCTTACAATTACATTTGCCAGTGAGTTGGTTCATATTTTGCTGTAGTATAATTCATAATATTAGTATTATGTATTAACCTTCTATACTTTTTATAACATCACATATTATAGAAAGGCCAGCGTACACTAAAGACTGCGAAAAGAAATTTCAAAATTTATCATCGGAACACCTGAAGTAGCGCACACGCGATGATATACGCTGTGTCCAAGGCACTGGTGTATATCCGGGAGATCGAAGACAGCGAAGCGCTTGACTAGTTGGCGGTATAGATCAGTGATTAACAAGGCAGAGATATCATGAAATTTCTCATCCTTGAAGTCAGAAGCTTCGCTCCAAAATATAGCACCCGTGTGCGAAATCAGATCAAACACTCAAGATCCAAGTCCTGTTTCAATCTACGAAATGCCCTCGAAACTTTGCACTAGTGTTGATCAATTGTTCCACCTGAAAAGCATACCCTTAAACTATTTGATACTACTAGGTCTGACGAATAATTAATGTTCATTTAAAGTTCCGTAATCTTCAGGGTTTGTATTGGCGAGCGTTGGGTTGCACTGGGGTACTTTTGTACAAGGCAATGGACTCGACTGGCTGGGCGGTAGTGAGGAAATGTATAGGCTGGAGCCCTTTATTGAAATTAATTGGACATTCCTAATGAAGAGAATCCGACATAAACAGGGGAAGTGATGACCTTGAGGATAAACTGGGACAGATTCAGGCCTAAAGCCTTGCAACTTCCCCACTGAGATAGACATCCAACTCTCGCCCCGGCTATTGCTCTAAATGAACGCTCATGGCTGGGACTGTTACCTCCAAATTTAGACATGGAGTCATGGCGATGCTTTTGACAAAACAGTCAGCGTACATTTGCACTCGAGTTCGGAGTTTCTTATATTTTGTTCGAACTATATATTTCCCGCCTTTCCTTGGTTTTACTTTGCTGCCATAGAATATATCCCAGTAAAACATGGCGACTACAGTATTTTGCCTATTTTTATTGGTAGCTGCTGGTCTTTATGGCTTGGGCCGAGTTGTGTACAATGTTTTCTTCCACCCACTACGGAATTTCCCTGGGCCTTGGATGGCTGGGGCTACGTCAAGTTGGAAAGCATATAAAGAAGTGATCAGACAACAGTCGGCGGTTCATGAGCTCTTTGGTCTCCATAAAAAATATGGTACGAACAAGTTGGGACTATGGAACATTTTCTTTTAACATTCCCTAATAGGTGATATTGTCCGTGTTGCTCCGAACGAGGTAAGTTGTGAATGACCCAGTCTACACTTCCCTATCTAGGTTATAGGGCTCAGATAGGTCTATCACTCACATGTCACAGCTTCATTTCGGAACCCCCGGTGCGTTCCACGATATCTATCATAGTAGCAAGAGGTGGGACAAGGACATGGGACTTTACCGAACCCCCGGGGTTTCATCCGGATCCTTCACATTTTTGAAGTATGCTCAGGCAAAGGAACGACGCGAGGTGATTCTTCCTATTTTCTCCAAGAAAGCCATCAATAGCCTGGAGTATCTCGTCTGGCGAAATGTGGGTGGTTTATTGCTTCACTTCTATATCTTAACCACCGCTAATAACTGAATCCCAGGCAAATCGCCTTGCATCTTCCATCGCCAAAACCAATGCATCAAAACGGTCTGTTGACCTACTCTACGCCTTTCGATCCTACACTCTCGACACCATAATGTGCTTCACATTCGGCAACTGCATAAACGCCCTCGATGCACCGGCATTTAGCGACCCTCTGATTCTAGCCATGGATGCCAGCCTTCGTATGCTGCCTATTATGAAGAATTTCCCCATGATTCGAGATCTTATCTTTACTGTGCCACCGGCCCTGGTCATGCGCCTCATTCCAAACGCCCAGAAACTAGCCCCACGCCTATATCAGGTCCGGGACCTCGTCCAGCAACAGCTTCAAGTTATCCTTAACTGCCCTTCAGAGCTCGATAATGTACCCCATGAGACTCTCTTCCACCGCATGCTCGACCCAGAATCATACCGGAGCAAGGAAGTCCTGAATATGACAGAATTACACGATGAAGGCTTTACACTCATCTTCGCAGGCTCTAACACAGTAGCCGACACGCTGCTTATGGGCCACTGGCATGTAATGCAGAACCAGACCTTGATATCACAATTGCGAAGCGAGATCCTGAGTGTTTGGCCCGACATCGAGAAACAGCCGTCTTTGACAGATCTCGAGACCCTACCACTCCTTACGGCAACCATCAAAGAATCCCTCCGCTTTATTCCGTCTGGGGTATCGCTCACACGCGTGGTGCCACCAGGAGGTGCTATAATAGCAGGACAGCAGATCCCCAGCGGGACGGTGGTCGGGATGGCTATTTTGCACGTGCATCAGAGCGCCGAAGTGTGGGGCAAGGATGCACTTATGTTCCGACCGGAACGGTGGCTGGAGAGCGCAGAGCAGGCATATGCGCAGAACGGGAAGAGTGAATTGGATCACTGGCTGGTTCCATTTAGTCGAGGGCCGCGCATGTGCTTTGGTATGAACTTGGCCTGGGCAGAGATGTATATCGCTTTCTCGACTATGATTAGGCGCTTTAATTTGACTATTGATGGCACTACGGAGGAGGATATGAAATGGCGGGAGTGTATTGCGGCTTACTATCCTAATAGGCATTTGCATGCATGGTGTCGTCCAATTGGTTCTGGGAACATGAAGTGAAGAGGTGGGGTTTATATAAATATGTGGCATGAGGCTCGGGAAATTGGAAATCATGCCAGTGGTATAGCTGCTGTCGTGCAGTGTTGATGATAAATAATATTCCACGTACACGAATGGCAATATTTGCAAAAAACAAGTATCTGACAGATGACTGTGCATGAGGATAGAAAGAGAGAGAGAGAGAGAGAAGGTCTAGCAGGGAAGCAGGTCCAGACAATTGAGGTATGAGCAAGCCTTAGGCAGCCACGCACCCTTAACTATAAGACAGACAATATTCCAACAGCGTACTGTCATGGGATATAATATAATCCATTGGGACAAAGTCAGCACTAGCAAAGAATGTTTCAGTCTGACCGTACATTCATTAATCGTACTCTAAAAGAAAGTAAATATGTATCCCAAACCTCACAGTTGCAGATACATCACATGTCGATTTAGGCAGTAACTCTGTTGGCCTTCAAATACTCATAATCCGGCATGGAATCCCGGGTAGTCTTCTCAAGCATCTCGGCAACCTCATCCCCGAACTCAACACGCCACTTAGCAACCTCCCCATCTACATCAACCGATGCAGGAGCCTTATCCTTAACAACGCCGGTCGACTCCTCCAAGGTCGACAACATGATGGAAGCAGCAGCATTACGCCTCTCCGCTTCCTCAGGATTACTCATGTTCGCACTCACAGGCGCCCAGTTGTCAGACTTCTTCTCATCGCCATTCCACTCAAACTGCATGGATGCGGTGTCCAGACCCGCCTGCTCACAGAACTTGACCACCGCATGGGGGTTATGAATAATATCATTTGCATCGATGACCAAAGGCGTGACAGGCTTATCCGGTTGCTCCAGACACCAGTCGAACAATTTCCGCGTCCATTGCAGGGTCATATTCGTGACCGTCGCACCCCTCACACGATCATTGTCAATGACACCGACCTTGGACAACTTGACCATAGCCCGGTACATCGATGGCCAAGCTAGTGCTGGGTGACGGATGATGAAGACTATCTGCCAGGTGCGCAGGTATTCGTCCGGCATGATGGTTTTGTTATTGGGCGAGAAAGTCTGTGAGGGCCCGTAGCGGTCTGGCGTGGATACGTTGAACTCTTTCAAGTGTTCGGAGATTCCAGCGCCATTGATGGTGCTCGTGAAATTGCCCGGGTTGATAAACCAGAAGGCGTGTTCTTTGGCGAACATTATCTTGTTCTCGGCACGTGCTCGGGCGGAGTAGGCTTCTAGTTCGTCGAGGCTATGTTGGAAGGCGGCTTTGGTCTCGTTCTTCGCCTCTGTTGTCCATTCCTCTAGCGGCTTGTCTAGGCGACCGTCCTGGCCTGCTTTCATGAAGGCATCGTAGAAGAAGTAACCGCTTTGGGGGTTGGTGACGACACCGGGTTGGTTGGGGATGTTGAGGATTTTCAGGAGTAGATTCGAGGCGGTGCGTGGTACACTGACAAGGAGGACCCGGTGTGGTTCATTATTTTCAGTTATGGACATGATGGCTTGGTGGCTTGATAGAGTGATATAAGAAATTTGGAGGCTTAATTAAGCTTAATCTGCTGCGAGGCAATGAGCGTGAGAAGAGATGGCTACATTCTGGAGCCAGATGGCGTGATCTCACTTAAATAACTTCAATTTCAGGCCCAAACGCAAGACCGCCTTTTGATTCAAAATTTTTCGACCCCTCCCTTTTTTGCATCTAAGTGGGTCGACTCCTAGCATCTATACGGAGTAGCCTTGATCGACATTCGGCAATTTTCCCAATGGGGTCGGACTCCGTAAAAACCGCCTCGATCGGTCTTTGTCGCTGTTTATTAAGACCGAGGACGGGTCAATGCAGTTCTGTGACGGACTGCAGTAGTGATCGGCAGCAAAGATACCATGTATGTCTCAGCACGTCGGCTATCGGATCAGACCTCCCGAGGGCAGGAGCCTTGGAATTCACGTAGTGATTTGTGGAATCACTGACATGGTTGAGTCGATGATCTTTTTCCTTGGGCGACCATACATACGGTATGCACATGGTCAACTGACATGTAGGTCTATAATGAAGGGATAAGGAGTGGAGCTAGATTTGATGGGAGATATACATGACTCTCCAAGCCAATCTTGACAGCACAGATATTGAAACAGAATAGCAGTACATAAACTGCCAGCCACATGATGCCTCTAACTCCTAAGGTCTTTCGTAAAGACACTGAACTAACAGAGTAAAATGTACACCTCCGCAAGATATGTTAAGCGAAACTAGATCTTACTCAACGTACTTATCAACGAGGAGAAAAATCAGAGTCGCTGCTCTCCGCCTCCGCCTTGACAAGACTTTGCTCTTTTGTGAGTGTCGGGTTGCGAATAACCATGGCAAAGGCAATCAAAGGGACCGTCAAGCAGATACCCGTGATGCAGAGCAGACGCTGCGTCTTCTGATAGGCTAGAATGACATTGTCTCGGTCGGGCGTACCCACAGGGTTGACGGCAGCAAACGCAAGAGGCTGAGCGTAGACATACGCAGCGAGGGTTTCGTTGCCGAGTCTATAATTTAGTTCAGAAGGCAAGACTTGGTTCCAAATCGCGCCGGAGATTGTGTTTCCTAGTGCGCTACCGATGTTGTAGGCGGCGAGGTAGAGACCAGTTATGACAGCGAGATCTATGGAATTGTTAGTCCATGGGTGTTTGTTTGGTAGGACAAAGTCTATTGATGAATACTAACGTTCGTGCTTAGACGCAACCTGGATGCTGGCTTGAGCTGGGTAAGGGAACATTCCACCAGCTGAGACTTTTGTTAGACAGGTTCAATCAAGTATGGAGCGCAGTCGATAACTCACCAATACCTAGCAGAACTTGCGCACCGATAACACCGGAATGACTGGAGCTCGCAGCGCCACCTCGGAAATAGATGAGGATTCCGAACGCGACCATGAAGAGGAGGGTTCCGGCCACGATGAAGGGCTTCAATTGGCGAACCTTCATGACGATGAGGCCAAGAATAACTCCTGTGATAACGGAGACAAAGCTGTAAAGAGATGTGATCCGAGTCGCACTGAGAGTTGATTCGTCGAAGCTGACGTAAAGTACAGTGTATAGGAAATCACCTTGTAGATACCACGCTAAAGAAATGTTAGATCTCGAGCATTGATGGTATGTATCCTGAAGGACGTACCAGTGTTGAGCATGACAGGGATTCCGAGGGCGCCCCAGACAGCACGGTCTTTGAGAAGCTAGAGTAGACACAAGTCAGTGAAAATGATCTAGGCGATTTGAATGATTTGACTTACGTGGAATGGTAACATCGGGTGTTTGCATGTTCTCTCCCAGAAAATCCAAACCGGGATGAGCAAAACACCTATGACAAGTGGCGCAATTACCTTTGCTGTTTTCCACTGTGTACTTACACCGCCGGCGAGAGTGAACGGAACAAGAATACACGCCAACATGGCAATCAACAGAATGTTGCCGACAATATCCAGCTGCCAAAACAGTTCTACAACCAGTTGGCTTTTTCCCATGACCTGGAGGGAGCTCTTGTAGGATTCAAGGGCCCCAGACTTCTTCGCACGTCGTTGGACGACAAAAAGGACCCCAAGAAGAGGGAGAGCACACACGGGATAGATGATAGCAAACATGCCAATGCCCCATTGCCATGTGGTGACTTTGAGAACGGCATCAGTCAAGTTGCCGCTGATCCAGGTATTTATCTAGAGAAGTTACAGTGTGTTAGTAGGTTGCGGTTGGTGGTCACAGCATATGTAGCACTCACGATAAATGGCAAGGGCGGAATATAGGAGAAAAGGAGACGAGATCGGCTAGAAGTCACATCGGCGATTAGGACTTCAGCCAAAAGCATAATAATAGTGTATCCAATCTAGATAATATTAGATGCAGATCAAGATAAGAGTCGCTGGGCGCATATCTTACCTGGTAGATAACAGCTCCCGCGGCGAAACCCTCCACACTCGTTGCGCATGCTTCCACAATAGTACCCACGGTATAAAAGAGGATCGAGACGAGAATAAGTTCCACTCTGCCGAATACATCGGCAATCTTTGCCGAGGTAGGCTATTAAGGGAAGGTCAGCTGCTGTAATAAATTGTTGATCGATATTCGTACCTGTGCAGCAACAGCAATGACGGCTCGGAGAACATTGATGGTCGCAAGCAGACTGTGCTGCCCGTAGCTTTGAGTTGCATGAGGCTGTCCAAAACATGAGGTATTAGTATGCTTTATCATCGTCCACACACGTCTTGACGTCAGAACTGCGAGATACGTACCTGGTATGTATAGCGAACAGTTCCATCCAAGCCATATACATAAGCGATCAGGAAAATAGCGAAAAAGAGACAGACCCGATCGGAAAATTGGAAGTGGGATGTAATAATTTCGATGCGACGAACACCTGGACTGCCTTGACCCAGCAGACTTGCAGGCTCACGCAGCGAGACGGCTTCATTGCGGGGATTTTTCGAGTCTCCCCGCGTCAGGGGATCAACCTTGATCTCATTAACGAGCGACATGATTATCGTACAGAATGAGATCTCACACAGATCACCTATGTAGAGAAGAAGAACAACACAGTCGGGAGAGAAAAAAAACCAGAGAAAAGATGATTGCCAAGAGATGGAAAAGTCAGAGATAAAACCGCTCACTCAATCTTATCAGATGGGCGGGTGACCCAACCTTTGTGGTGAGGCGCGCTAGAGGCGTTGTCTAAGAAAACAGCCACTCGCGACGCTTAGATGTGCCCCCACATCGTATCCAGCCATGGCTCGGGGCTATTATTTGACTTGGATCTCGCTCTAGACTTGTCAATTATAGCTCTATGTGGGTAGTTTGATCCGAGGAGACCGGCATTGTATCGGATGACTTCCTGTTCCGGCACCTCGGCAATGTTGCATTCACAACTGTCCAGTTATAGTTGAGCGTGGATAAAAGTCATGTCTGAGCGACTAACATCGCAATAAAATACCATAAGAGTAGGGCCGTTTCAAAATTACATGTGGAAAAATATTTTGTTTTACAAAAATGTACAAATCCAAAAAAAAAACAAGATGAAGGTACCCGTCATCTGGGCCAATGAGAGTCGATTATGTAATAATGTTCGGCCGGGTCGCGGGAACGTGGAAAACCTGCCCGCATGGCCCCACGCGTCTACTGGTTCATCACGAACCATACACATCTTGCTTGGCTATCACAGATTCAGGTGTTACCAATTGGACTGGATTGATTCAATGCCCCGGGCCTCTGCCAATCTTTCCACTAAAGCTTTGGTTGATGATTGTCCAGTATCTTCGCGACGAAGACAGCCCCCAACATCTCAGCAGACTGGCACAGACATGCAAGTCTTTTCATCAAGAAATCAACCGTGTTATATATCAGTCTGTCCGACTGAGGCGGGTAAAGAATGCTCGCAGTTTTGCCAATACTGTGCCCAGTCGCCCAGACTTGGCAGCACTTGTAAAAGAGGTGCGACATGCCGATGATGTGGGCTTTTCAGACTTTGCTACTCACTCGGAGCCATTCTACCAAGCACTCACTCTGCGGATTCCATTTCTATTAATTAAAATTGATGTCAGTTCTACAAAGAGCACAAATCACAGGTAATATTGTAGGGCACTTGGGGTTACACGTGCAAGGAGGAATATGACGCGTCGTTGGATCATTGCAACAAGACTTGGCTATAGGTATTGCCTGGAGATTTAAGCAAATTATTCCCTATGTTTGAGAATATGTATCCCTATCAAAGCCGCGACTTAAAGGAAGCTTGTGCTCCAACCACCGAAGGCAAGCTATCCTGACTGAGACGGTTCATCTCGGGATCATAAAGCGATTCTGTTTCGACAGTAGCCCTGATGCGCTTTCCAAAGTACTCGATCTCCACTGTCTCGCCTTCGCTCACACCCCCAGGAAGCCAGGCGTAGGCAATTGGTTTGCGAATGGTGTACCCAAATGCAGCGGTGGTTACATAGCCAGCCGCCTTTCCATTATAGAACACAGGCTCCTTGCCAAGAATCATCGAGCGACCATCATCAACGGTCAAAGCTCGCAGTCGCCGCGAAGGTGCTTGGTTAGAAAGGCGTTGAAGGGCGAATTTCCCGACGAAGTCATCTTTCTTATTTGCGTCCACGGCAAAGGCAACACCAGCCTCGAACGGATTGTGCTCTGTCGTCATATCCACGCCATAGGTCCGGTATCCCTTCTCAAGGCGCATTGAGTTGAACGCACTGCGGCCTCCAGCAATGAGTCCGTGCAACTTTCCGGCTCGCCATATTATGTCCCATAGGCGTTGGCCGTACTCGGCGCTGGTTTGGATTTCCCAGCCTAGTTCGCCGACGTGGGACTTTCGGATCATCGTAACTGGGATACCCGCGAGAGCAGTTTTCTTCAGACTGAAGTAGGGAAGACCCTTGTTGGAAACATTGACCGTGCTGATCCCAGCGATGACATCCCGGGCCCGAGGACCCCAGAGACCGATGCAGCATGTGCTGCCTGTGATATCGCGAATTTGGATCCATTTCCCAGGGGTGTTCTCTTGCTGGCCTCGAGCTTCTCTGGTAAGATACGCCAGGTCTGTTGCACTGTTCGCTCCAATTTGGAACACGTCATCGTCAAGTCGTAGTACAAATATGTCACCTCGAATGCCACCATGATCATTCAGGAGAAGGGTATAGGTAACGGTTCCTGGATTGGTGGTAATATCACTCGTGGTCAGCCGCTGAAGCAAACCGACTGCTCCAGGACCACACAATTCGAAGCGATGGAAAGCAGTCATATCAAACATAGCAACAGCATTCCGCGTCTTCCACGCCTCAGCAGCAGAGATAGGCGAATGAACCTGCGCAGACCAGGGATCTCGTTCAACAGGCTTCCATGATGGTGGGAGAGATTTAACAAGATCTTTGTTTGCCTCATACCACCACGGTCGCTCCCAGCCTCCGGTCTCGAGGAAGAAAGCCCCCAGCTCCCGCTGGCGGGAGTAGAATGGACTAACACGCAAATTGCGGGGTGACGCCCGCTGCTGAAGCGGGTGGATAATGTCATATATTTCAACAAAGTTCTGCTGCCCAGTCTCAGTCACGTAGTCTCGATTGACTTGGATCTCTTCGAAGCGAGATAGCTCGCATTCAGATACGTCGATGTCCGACCGGCCGGTTGTGAGTATCTGGGCTAGAGCTCGGGCGACCCCTGCTGAGTGTGTAACCCATACGGCCTCGGCTACGTAGAAGCCGTCGAGATGGGTTGGTTGGCCGAGGATTGGACCGCCGTCGGGTGTGAAGGAGAAGAGTCCATTGAAGCCATCCGCGATCTCTGTGTCCTGAAGTGCGGGGAGGAGCTTTTGAGACTCTTTCCAAGCTGGGTCGAAGTCTTCGGCTGTGAAATCAAGGCGGGAGGGCATGTTGTGTTCATCGACATCTTTAGGAGTGAGCCCTAGCGATGAAGCAACAACAGGCATTGGACGGTGTCCGTAGTATCCAATGCCGTACTGCCCGCCATGTTCACGGTAGTAAAGACCCTTGTCCTGGTGCCGGAGAATTGGGAGTGTGGCATTCATTCCATTAGGCAAGCTGTTGACATCTCGCCCAGCGAGAGCGGGTACTGCCGTAGTCTTTGCATACTGATGCGCCAGCGGGAGCAAAGGAATTTCCACACCGACCATGGCCCCCAATTCCACACCCCAGAATCCAGCGCAAGAGACAACAATGTCTGCCGGGATAGTGCCACTTGGAGTACTGACTCCAGTGATGCGACGGCCGTCCCGCTCAATTCCCGTCACTGGAGTATGGCCCAGGTAACGAACACCGGCGTTGCTTGTCCGTTCAATGAGTAGCTGCGTTGCTCGAGCTGCTAGTGCGAGGCCGTCACTAGGGATGTGTAGACCGCCCAACACCATATCGTTATTCAGGTGAGGATACATCTTGAAGCACTCCTCGGCGCTCACTAGCCGGGCCTCGATCCCCCATGATGAGGCGTATCCATGTTTCCGCTTCAGATCTTCCAGTCGTGCAGGAGTGGTTGCTACTTCGAGACCACCCACTTGGTTGAAGCATTTATGTCCATCCTTCTCTATTGACAGGAACTTCTCGACTGTGTATCGTGCGAAATGTGTCATGGTCTTGGAGGGACTTGTCTGAAATACGAGTCCGGGGGCATGTGAAGTCGATCCGCCCGGCATGTGCAACGGGCCCTGCTCGACAACAGTGATATTATTCCATCCTCGAGAGACCAGCTCGTCGGCGAGGTTGGTACCTACGATACCGGCTCCAATGATGACAACACGTGAAAGGGACATTATTATATGATAGTTAATATGATACATCCATTAGAAAGAGGCAAACATTCATTCTATTTGTATATTCACATATTTAATCATTCTTACAATGTGTGACCTTCCGGTACACATGTCCCCGCACCCCGCAGAGGCGTGAACTGACTATTTGGTGTATCGTGAAGCCAAAGATAAAGATGTTACGCCCCGCACGGGTTCCGGCGGTGTAAAGCCGAAAATGCCAGTAATTCACACGGCTACTTCGGATTGGAGTATATCCTTGACATAGAGATAATGAAGCTCGTCAAATCATACTCGGCTAGCTTGATGTGGCGGGTAGAGATAATGAAGCTCGTCAAATCATACTCGGCCAGCTTGATGTGGCGGGTTTTTTTTTCTGTTGATGGATAAAATTTCCTTTTTGGGTCACGTATAGATTCCACCATCGCAAATATGTTGTACATATGTCGCCGTATATACCGGATTCTAGGCCACGCGACTTAGCTCATTGGGGCGCCACTTTATGAGGGCCTTCAGGGTCCTACTCACTGACACCTAGGCAGCGCATGGTGATTAGTTAACTAGTGAAGTTAGTTAACTAATTTCTCACAACGCCGAGCTCAGTGAATGCCTAGTAATATTCAGTAATGCCCAGCACTCAAGGCATACTCAGTGAGTACGCTCATCCGACGCCCGTTTTCAATCTTGAGATGTAGCAATTCATCTTCATGATTCCAATATAGCAAGTGGAAGTCACGAGTCGCAGCGTAAATTTACTGAGTTCCGCCAGGAACTATTCCAAAAGTGTGCCATTCATAATAGGTATAGGCGTGCTGGTTTAACCTTCCGCTTTTGTTGACTTCTCGGGTTTCTCGTTGCATTCGGGATGACTTCAGAAGGCTATGAGTTGGAAAAGGAATCTCCTGCTCTGAACATTATTTTGACCAAAGAATTTATCCGATGGTACTGTACACACTTTCTACGACAGGATGTTTCAGCCCAGATGGAAGACCCACGGTGATCACCTTTTTAGCATGCGCCAGGATATCTTTCGGTAGCTTTGAGACAGCCAGGGAAATATGATTTCTGCAGAGAATTGTTCGGGGACATATAGGCTAAATATAGTCGTTTTGACCAATTAGTCAGAATGATTCGAGCATCAGACGAATCAAAAGGTTACTTGGGCCTAGCGAGTGAAGCAACTCTTGGAAAGGCGATTATTGTCGTGTGAGTCAGCATCATCAACAGTGATCGTCTTACAATTCTAGCGGGATAAAAGCGGTCGTTAGGGAGAGGACAGAAAGAATCAATGATAATGATTATCATAATCGGATTTTCATCTTAACCGTAATATTGTATATGCGGCAAAGAAAAGCGCAAGGGGAAGAGGCTCAATATCAACCGGGCTTGGGATTAAATACGACACTGTGTAGCGAGATCAGGACAGGGTACTGGGTTCTAAACAAAAGCACAGAAGAAATATAGTCCATAAGGTGCTCTGCCAATGGCGGAGCCAACAATATCGCATTATAGTAAATGATTCCACTTTCCATTCCGATGAGTGCTCAGCGGGCTTCGTTTAGACAACCAAACTGACCCATTATCCAGTTCAAGTATCTAACTAGCACCGACTAGCAATTTCCCGCGTTAGGGTCGTTCTGGTAGTGAAAGTCACCGTGCTGCTGCTCGCTTCCATGGGAGCAGGCGTTGATCTCAATGGTCATTGCAGCAACGCAGTCGGATGCAAGCAAGGTCTGGGAATCCCCTTGGTTGTTCGTCACAACCCAATTGGCACGGTCCCCTTTTGGAAATTGGCTGCAAACACTCTTCGTCTGGCCAGAACTGAAGGTTCCGGCGAAACTAGCACACGCACCATTCATTGCATTGAAAATATCTGTGTTATCGGCCACGTCGCCCCAGGTCTCGCCACCACCGTAGCAACCATTCGCGTTAACAGGGGTGACAATGAGGAGGGCAGAGACGCCGAGGATGGCTAGGATGCGATTAAATTGAGAGGCCATGTTGGTATTCTTCTGACGTTAATTAGTATCGCACTATGAGTTGGTGTATACCGCTGATCCAGTGTGACGGCGAATTCAATGTGACTGGGTTACTCACGAGATATCTCGTTGATGGTGCTTGACTTTGAAAGTGGGGGGATGCTTTGAATGATGGTGAATGATGGATGTTTCTGTGTGATAAATTGGAAGGAAACGTTGCTTTTATATGACTGAGGGCCCCCTCAAAGTGAATAATTCCGCAGTATACTTTGTCGCTGATTTCTTTCATTGTCACTCTTCGCAACTTTAACCCCATTTGGACGATGGATACATGTCGCAATATGGGGTTTTGTTCGCCTCTGATTTGTAGGATACATCGCCCTATTCTAGGCCATAATCTTATGGGTAAATCTTCAGGTAGCTACCTAAGCCATCCCTGGCCTTATGAACTTTCAGTTAGTTATTGTGGCACACGGCAACTTCTCTTCTCCGATTGCCGTCTTCTACCGTTAGCTTTTCGAATTTACTTAGCCGTACTCCTCCACGTTTATTAGACCACCTCTCCATCAATGTTCGATATCAAGAAGTATCTATTACACCAAGGTTCTTTATTCCCTTTCAGCGATCTTCCGGATGTCTTCGTCTACCGTGGATATATTTCCACTTTCAATCATTGGCTGACCACGGTACATTTCCTCAAACCCAAGTGCGTCGTGCTATCCACGTTTTTTGGATTTCGTAGAGGTGCCATCCAATAGGGCTCTTCGAATAGGTCTTCTCTAGTGCGGCTTAACTGTGTCTGTTGGCTAGCGCTCCTTTCTGGGGCGTAGCGTGGGATAATCCTCGTACATCCGCCCCTTTTAGTGCCTACATCATCTTCAGCTACCCACCGCATGCAACAGACCTCCCACATTTCTCACCCTTTTGAGGTAGTAGTTTAAAAGAATAACTGCGAGTGCGCGCCTTTACTGTGCATTGGGAGTGGAGAAATGCTTAGCCATACCATACAGATCTTCGCTTCAGCCGCAGATATTGTAGACCGTGCCACTCTCTATATTTATCTTTATCTATGCACGGATGGTCTTACTCGAGGGCCAACGAGCTCGCATTACCATGCTCTATGTGAGATCCATAAGCGGTGCAAATTATTAAAACAAAATTTCAGTTGCTCTGAGCACCATAAACACGTGCTAAACGCTGTGCTAGAGTTAATTGAGTGAGTATCTTTAAGTATTGGCGACAATGGAGGCTGGGGTCGGCTAAGCCCGTGGACAAAACTTAGATATGTACTTACCTCCCCGGATTCTTTATGACCATCCAACTATACCTTTATGGGACCTTTAGGTGGATATTTGATTTGATTGGTCTGTTCGTTCAAGTGGGCCCTTGAAAGGTGGAGGCTAAGTCTAGGGGCTGAATATAAAAGTACAATAGCAAGCTCGTTAACTAGCAATTATTTGGAATTGACCGTGATTATGAGATACTAGACGCTTCTTTGCCTTTTTGTTAAAAGATTAATAATGCTGAATCACCATCTTAATAATAATCTAGAAAAATAATATTTGTTAGAGTGGCGGGGCGTATATACAGAGCATTAATGGTATAGTTATTGCAGCAGATCAGGCAGCTGAAACGACATGGATTTTAAATTAACTATTCATTTCTGGTAAGATTCATTTGACTCAAGTAATGATAGTGGAACATAAGCTAGACCTAGTTAGTGTGTTTTGATGACACAATGTCCATTTACCAAGGAGAAACTCCATACTCTCCCAGCACCCGGCCAGCATCAGCATCCTTTTCTCCCTTTACAACTGTTGCAATACGCTCACCACCTTGGGCAGGTGTGGCAGCACCACGATCTAGCAACGACTGCGCGTTACCAGTGAAGTTGGTTCCACACAGACCAGGGTCCGCACCATGGACTTTGAACCCTTCTTTCTGCAGACGGTTCCAATAGAGCACAATGAGCATGTTCAAGGCTGCCTTGCTGGATCGGTACTCGAAGCCATTGTTGCTGTAGTATTTGGAGGACGGGTCGGCGGCCTGGGAGACTGAGCCCACGCTGGACGAAACGAAGACCAGGCGACGCTCTTCAGACTTATGCAACAGATCGAGGAAGGTCTCTGTCATGCTGAGAGAACCAACAACGTTGGTGTTCAGCACCTTGCGGTATTCCTCTCGGGAAGGCGGGTTCGCCAGCGAAACGATGCCTGCATTGTTGACAAGGATGTCCAGACGACCGTAGTCTGCAGCTACCTTCTCTGCGGCAGCATCAACAGACTTATCCTGAGTGACATCGAGTTCAATGGCTGACACGGTTCCTTTTACATCCGTCTCAGCCTGTAGCCTTCTCACGGCTTCCTCTCCGTTATCCAATTTACGGCTGCCTAGAATGACATGGTAGGTGGCGGAGGCATGCAGGAGATTCCTGGCTGTCTCATATCCGATGCCCTGGTTTCCACCTGTATAAGAAGCCAGCTTTTTAGCTTCAATATTGACCTGAGGGGTGTGATCAAGTGGATCTTAGATTACCGGTAATCAACACGATCTTCTGAGATGCGGTCGCCATTGTGTTGGTCAAAGCGTTAGAATGGAGTGGTCTCTGAGATTACTTTTGACAAGGAGACCAAGAGAGGTCAAAGACAGTGGGTTGTATCGGATGATTGAAACTGGGGAAAGAAAGGTGGGGAAAAGAAAGGGAAAGAATGAAGAGAGCGGAACTATCCAAGTCTTGGAAAGGCAGGATATTATCTAACACTCCACGAGCTGTCAAGACTACTTTCTAAGGTTGTGACAAGACTGCGGTAGCTTTGAAAAGAAGGTTTACAAGTTATAGGTACCCATCGGATATAAGAATGTGTGCCGAACTAAAGGCGTAGGTCTCATCATACCGGACAAAGATCTGCCATCACTTGAGATCAAATCGCAGCCTCCTAACACCGAGATAGGAAACTTATTGGCTGTTTCATACGGGTCGCACTGGGACCAACACAGGACCGCACTGCACCCTAAGTCCGTTAACTCCGATACAACACCTAACATACACGAACACATATATTTATTTACCTCAGACTCGTCTTTGTTACACGTTTCTTGGCCTCCCAGACCCACTCTTGAGTTGATCTTATGATGGTCTCGGGGCCGCCTTTTTCCTAGCAGCAACACCTTACGTCTTACATCGCAAACCATATTCTATCAGGCAGCCCACATGTCTTGGGCCTTAAACTAAGAGACCTTCATATTGCACCATGCAGGACTATCCTACGGAGCGGAAACTACAGTTCTTCGCGTGGGATGGCTCCTAAATTCGCTCAGTTGCTCGTTTTTTGGGAGACAATTAATGCTCCCACAATAGTCTCTTAGATGTTATCTTCCTAAGAACCTCAATGGCTGATACATATGTTACTCTCTCGGAATAGCTAATGGAAGTTCGTGTAGCTCACAAGAAAATTGTATCTTATTCTTTAATTCGATCTGCCTCGTGCGTAGTCCCAACGATCTGTTAATCTTCGCCAACGAGCCACATGTCTACGATGAAGCTTGACTATACATTATTTATTTGCCTTTCTGCTGGGTTCTCGGCTGCTCAATCATTCTCGAGGCCGAGGAGTAGTTCGTTCGGTCTAGCAGGTCAGAACCAGACCCTTGACTATGTCGTGCGTTCTATTCACTCTCCAGCTGCTCTAGCAAAGAAAGCATCACCAACGCAACTTCCAATATCAATAGGTTTTGAACGGTGGCATAATTGGCCTATTAACGGCCATGCGACTCTCGGAAAGTGGGAAGTACTCCATCATAGTAATCGAAGCCGATGGGATTTACACAGTGGATGCAGAGAACACATCTGTCATACTGGCCTACGAATCGGATTGCCCCGAGAGCCCTCCAACAATTGGCTGGAAGATATATACCACAAGGCGGTACGTATGAAGGTTCTTTGGAGACCTTGGCCATTGAGCTGTATGGCTTACTAAATGCTAGCAACTTGGGGGCCGTTCAATCACGGAATGGCAATACGCGCGTGGGGATTGGGATTTTAGGCCGCGGTCGCGAATTTATCGATCGGGATGCCGCTGCTTTATGATTTTGCAGCATCGCGCGATTACTCAGTGACCACATGATTGTACTTGGTATAACTTTGATCAGCTAGCATTAAGCTTAGTGTTCTATTTCTGTCGCGGATTTTTTTCAAAAGAAATGGGGGCTCTAGAGCTATCCCGGACTCCCGAGCTCCCGAGTTCCCGAGTTTATCTGCTGAGATCGCGCTCCACCTGCAAGCCTATCACAACCAACACACCATGGCAGCCAGGATTTCCCGAAGCCTGCCACAGGTCAATCGCCATGTTCTCACGAGGTTATCGTCCCGCGCGATACCTCGTGTTGCGAGCCTCAGTGCCCGGGCTGGCTTGGTGACACATCGCAATACCCGGGAGGTCGCGCCTTGGACCTGTCGCGTAAAACAGGCCAATATCGCGCGATTTTCCCATACAGATTCTGGCTCATCGGCAGAACCAGAGGTTGGGATTCTCGACGCTACCGGTTACAGGGGATCGAGCGTTACGGAGAAACATTGGATGGACCGCGACGCAGGAGCTGGTATGATCCTACTTGTCAATGTGTCAATGTGGCCTCGCTAATCAGACCAGTGGACGCCTTGATTGAACCCCAAGCTGTCTTACATTTCGTCGAATTCATCACGTCTGGCATCCTGCCGAATGGGAAGAAGACCGATTTAGCTTTGCTCAACGCAGATGAATTCGCATTATTTATGGCCCCGAGTTCACAGTGGGCGCCTGCGCCGTTCAACACCGCCGATATCCCAATTGTGCAAAAGGCAATCCAGCGGATCACCGGCCCAAAGGATTTGAGCGGATTGTGCCGAGTTGGGCATAATATTCACTTCCTCAAACGGCGCCTCTGGGGAGGCCTTGCCCCCGTGCCCGCATCGCGATGGCGCGAAAAAGATCTCAACAACCCCGAGCATTTTGCGATCGCCCATGATTACCTGACCTCCGTGATTGCCGTCTTCGAGTATCTCAATATTCCTCAGATCCGGACTAACATGTGCGACACTTTTAACAAGATATCTGGTGACTTTGGAGAAATGCAGGACGCGTTGAATGCCCGGCGCAAGACCCGAGGCCTTTCTGCCGAGGTCGACCTTACTGCTCTTTGGGAACAATTCATTCGCGCACAGTACGAAGTCATGACCAGCACTGCCCATTCCTGGGTCCTGGCCCACGTTGCCGAATTGCGTGAACAGGCGTTGGACAGCTTCACTGCGATCCAGGCGGATGGAAAAACCCCAGAGATGGAAAATTTCACGCAGCGGTGGACTGATCTCATTAACGTCACTTCGATGGCAGATTTCAACATTTGGATGTCCATGGATGGGTACAACGGCTACCATGCGCCCTCTGACATCGTCGCTGGGCTACACAATCCTGACCTAAAGAACCACGACATGAGATCTGGGTTTTCCAAGCTGCTGATGGACCGACTCACAAAATGTGTCGAGGCCCAGAACGAGGCTGCGAAGGTTCAAGGTCCAAGCGCGACGGAGGGTGACGCGGCCCGCCGCGAGCGTGTTTCTATTAGCACAGTAGTACAGGATGAACTGCGTGAAAAGATACGCGGCCGGACGCCATCCCCGCAGCCACCTGCACAGCCCTGGATCCAGCAACTCCTTCGGGCTAAGGAGGCGAGCCTGAGCTTGGACCCGTCGGAGAGACAAGACTATGGCTTCGGATTGGCAATCTACCGCACAGCGCACAACGTCTCCGATGAGAAGTGGGAAGAGCTAAAACGGGACGTGGAAGCTCACTTATCGACATGGAGTGATGGCGTCCAGCGCGCTGACGAGCTCAAACCACTGCTCAAACTGCATTGGTTTGACGGCAAAGAGCTAGGCTTCGACGCAACCAACCCCATCCCAGCAGCAAGGAAGTTCGTGGGCCCTATATTCTCCATTCCAAGATTCACATGCACCAGGGACTAATGCTTCTCATAGACACTACCAGGAAATCCGGTCCATGGAGGAGTGGAGCCATAAAGTAGCACCATCTTTGTTCCTTGTTATCGATCACATGGGCGTGGGCTCATATACCGAGGACGTATTTGCCACCTCCTACGCAAAGGACAAAGGCCTCCTCAAAGGCGACTTCCAAGGCCAAGTCCTAGCCGTCGACCCAGACTTCGATGAAAGTGCCACTGCAAGCGAAAGTACAGACACGGCCAAGGAAGACCCCCAGCAGGAAGCCCTCACATACCAGGGCCGGATGCGCATCCTGGGTAACCTCGTCTGGAGTGAGCTCTATCCTATGCTCATGCTGCAGTCTGTGGGACTTGAGCATCTCTGGCTGCAGGCACGGGAACATCCGTTGAAGGTATACACGGGGCCGACGGTGCCCAGTCAAGTTGTGCCGTGGAGGGAACGGAATGCTAAGGAAGGGTCCCTTTAGAAGAACCAATTTTTTTGTAAATTATATCGAGTCTTGTGATTGCACTACTCTAAAATTCAATTTTTTTGAGGCCTGATGTGACCTCGGAGATAATTCGAGCAAAAGGCAAGGGGTGAACACTAAAATGAAAAGGGAACGCCGTGTCGCCCCTAAAATCCGGTGTATGTGCATTAACATTTATCCCCAGGCTCCGTGGTAAATGTTTGAAATACCACCCATAGGGCTAAATGGGGTTGAATAAGATTTAACAGTATCCAAGCTTTGGATCTAACACATCTGTTTCAAACTGAGCTAGCTACTTCTAGTAAAGAAGGTAGATGATCGTGCAATGAATCGGGAGTGAAGCATTGCCATTGGCAGCCCATTTCAACATCATAGACGAAAATGGTGCAATCGATATTTTACGGCCTCTGATTGGTCAATACAACAACAGATGCAGGGGTATGTTCAATGGAGGCGTTGAGTAAATAAATAAGGTGTATATAGTTTCAGATCTAAGATCTATCAATTGTTTTATATTCTATAAACCGTTATGATGACCAAACAAGTCAACCCCAGACTCTGTGGGGACGTTTTCATGTTCGGCTAGAACCGTTCCGTGGGGAACAAGGAACAATCCCTGTCTTTGGAACCTTCACTCTTCGGAAACTCAGCTTCAGAACAGCCATGCTATTATCTGCACTTTTCCTCCTCTCATCATGACCAAGCCCGGTACACCTCCTGTCCCCAATGAGCCCAATGCAATCATGAGCGACTTCGGCCCGATACCCGCTCGCGACACCCGAAATGACGACCGAGAAGCATTAGAGCTCCATTCGATACAAACCCAAGAAGACAATGAGCTAGACTACTCGACCCCATCGGCTTCGTCTGGCGACGAGCATCACATGCCCACACGTCGGACACCGTCCCGAGCTGATTCTCGGCGCTCACGCAAAGTCCGCAAGGGCCTTTGGGGCGGGATTTGTCGGTTCTGGGGTCGACATGTTACTCTGACCGTGCCGCAGAAGAGCAATCGAGATTACTTTGGTGCGTTCCACTGTGGAAACGTTGCTAGCAATTTAATTGACACCATTAAAGCCCTAGAAAGAACATTCCTTGCGTATATCCGCACGTCCACCGTTATCGCTATGCAAGGAGTGCTCGTTGCGCAACTTTTCCGTCTACAACGCCCATTGACAAAAGTCGATCGCCTGTCATTTCACGAAGTCGGTATCCCGCTTTCGGTTGCCTGCCACGGTGTGGCTATTATCGTCGCCTTCATAGGTGCGGTCCGATTCTGGAGACAACAAAATGCTATTGCTCGTGGGAAAGTGTATGCTGGAGGGTGGGAGTTGAACTCGGTGGGGATATTCATATTCGCTGTAAGCTCTTCCTAGATTGATGGTCGAACTCTGAATTCTAATCAACTCCCTCAGGTTATTGTGACGACCTTGGTTCTTACTGTTATCATCTTGATCCAAATCGATTTGAGCTCCAGTGCGCTTCCTAATCGAATATTATGGTCATGAAATCTCATTCATGATTTTGTCGCCCTGGCCATATATGCATTTAGACGGCGGCAGAAAAGTTCACGCGAAATGGCTATCTTATTGACTATATATAATTATAATTTCATTCTACCGTCCATATATCTTTGACATCCATTGGCAACCAAAGCTGTCTTGCTTAAAGGTATATCGCGCTATTCGTTTTACCTCGGAGCATATCCCTCAATGAACACCCCCTCCCCCAATGGGTATACAGGTTCTCTAGGAGAGTCAAAATCGCATATTGAGCCAGCTAGTCTCCAATACCCCACTCTACTCCCTGAGTGGCCGCATGTCTCGCAACTTCTTGAGGACAGATCCCCTGATCGGAATCATACGGAGCTTAGGCGGTGATAACCCTAGCATATTGATCATTTTCCACTCCACTGCGTGGCACTCGGTGAGAACTCTACCATATATTCGATGACACATATTGATATGTAGTCTCTGATATAATAGGCTTCTGGCATACGAATGCCCTACCGTGTGGCCCGCCGGGGCAAAGGAAAGAAAGCTACGTTTGATACAACTATTTGGAGCCAAGCGCAATATCTTCCTCGAATGGGGCACAACCAATGGGTCCTACCAGTGCTTCGGCGATGGCTTGTAATCTGTTGGCAAGTCTGACCTCTTTCTTCCAATCCTGAAGTAGCCTCGCGGCATTAAGTAAGGGAATAGTGGATAAACCAAGACGAGTGCATCAAACAACGTTCATTTTGTGGATCGCTATGAGACTCATATTTAGTATGGAATAGACCATTTAATTAGTCAGATAGCCAACCTTCGGGCTTTTATACGAAGTAAGAGAGTAATAATTGAAATGAAAAAGAAAGAGACCAAAGCCAGATAGAGAGAGGGTCTTGGGCTCTCAACCATTCTTTTGCTCTCGCATCACTTCTCTCTTCCTTTCCTCTCTTCGTCACTTTATCTTCACAACATTTCGTATCCCCGTCCTTTCTTATTTCCATTCTTTCAACTACTCACGTCAACCTTTTATTAGTACCGTCTACCATGGCTGACTCTATTAATCCCCTTGTAAGTGAAATCCTCTCGTTGATAGCTGCGTCTCCCATGGAAGATGGGTCGTCTCGGCATCTCGTACCCTCAAAATCACAATACGCACATCCCCACCACTATGGCAATCCGATTATAAAATCAACCGACATGACCCTACCACTTCTGAACATGGGTATTTGCACCCTTGGCATAATCGGATCCTGCTGTCTCGGGCATCATCATTAATTTCTCTAACCACAACCCACACCCTATCCCCGAAGAACGTATCTTGTCTTCCCAGCTTCATCTTTGTGCGAGATACAACTTTCTATTCCCTAATAGCCCCTTGTCTTGCCATCGGTCTTGCCATCGTCATCTCCTTAAGCAACCACACCACCAGGTTTATCAAGAATACATGGACATGAACTAACATATCATAGTTGTTCTGCAAACATTGCGAGGTTAGTGGACATGACGTTGTCTACTGTCATCGTCTTTTCGAAGACTTGACGGCCTTTGCCCAAACCGTTGGCGTCGACACTGGATACCGCACCCAAGGCTCGGTGAGAACCCTACCACGCATTCGATCACGGAGCAATACACTAATGCATGTCATAAATCAGGGTTCTGGTGACCAGAAACCTTACCGTATTGCGCGCTGGGGCGAAGGAAAAAAGAGTATGTTTAATACCACTATGTGGGTCCAGCGATGACACACAGAAGGCTAACTCATCTAGCAGAAAGCTTCGCTAATGATGCCGATCTCAATCCAGCTGAGGGCCAGATGCTGGCATTTTACCTCGAACAACAGCGGCGTTACTGGCACTGGTGCCGTGCCTTGTGGGCCGGGCTATGCGGGCAGCCAGAGTAGGGCCTCGACGCCATGTGTCCAGCAGGCGATTACAACAAGTCACAATGGTGCTATATGAGAGGAGGCGGATTTGATCTATTGAAAGGACAGAAATCTTCTCAGGCTGTTTATGTCACGAGCTATAGAATCAGCAAGCTTCATATCGGGGGCTATCCTTAGTAGGGCATGCATTTAAACATAGAATATGATAAGGATCTTTATAGATGTAGCTAGTAGATTGGCTGCTTATAATTAATAATATAGCAGGGCATAATTCACCGGCATACAATAGAGGCCATGTCGTCAGGGTCTGATGCATAGTCCAAGTATATTAATTTGAAATGAGAAAAGAGAAAGAATCGCATGGGCTCTCTGATCTTCTTTTACTCTCACCTCACCTCCCTCCCTCCTCTCCTCCCTTAATAAACCCCCGCCTATCCTTTCCTTTTTTTTTCCCCTTCCTTTGTCTCCCAATCCTTTCAACCATGCAACTTTCATCTCTCCATCGTCATCCTACATTATGGCTGAGCCTATTCCCGTTTCATATAAGTGGAAATCTGGTCGCAATGTTGATCGCTGTGTGATATCCAAAAGTTCCCACCACTATAGCACTTTTTTGATCATACAAGCAACCGGCTTAAGCGATCTAATCGGCTCTTCCTTCCTGAGAATAGCATGGTTGTCTCATGTTAGCATGGTCTCCTGTTATACTGTGTACCATTGTCCCTGCTTTGAAACCCCCACCCTCTAGCCTCCAGCTGCTCACGAACTTTCTCGGCGATGGCCATGTTTTGTTTCAGCAGACATCGCTTCGTGTGATGCAATACTACTCTTCTACATCGCATGTATTAACTGCAACGCCTCCATCAAGGATAAACATATATGAACTGATCTATTATAGCTGTGAAAGCAACTCGATCGTTGACTGTCATGCTCTCTATCAAGAGGTGACTAAATTCGGCGCAGCCTTCCAAGCATCCCTGAATCTAAGGATCACTATAGTTGCCCGCTTGGGTGAGGGTAAGAAGAAGCGTGGAGCATGTTATACACAACTATTTCAGCCAGCATTCCACATTTCTTAACGACATGGAAACGATGTCCTGTTAAACTTGGGCGCTATATAGGAAACCGTGTGGCTATAGATTGGAGAGGCCAAGGTGCCCGCCGCTACCTTGACCAGCATCGGGTGCATGGCTATGGTGTTCTCTCGGGCTTATATCAATTTGAAGTGAGCATGAAAAAGGTCGAACTCAACGTCCGAGGTGAGGAAATCACGGAGAACGTCCGGAAAGAAATCGCCAAGGAGTAGTGATTGAAATATGGAGAGAGAAAAAGTTCAAAGCCAGATACATAAGAGGGTCTTGGGTTCTCAGTTCCTCTTCTATTCTCACTTCCCAATCTTCTCGGCTTTCAACTTTACATTGTTGTCTCGCCATCTTTAGCCATGTCTAGATACATGTCTAGATATCCTATCCCGGTTGGTGTAAGTGAACATCTCATGAAGTTGTGATGGCTACATCAACCCTTTTCCAATAAAACGCCCAGACCGACCAGAATGTATGGATATAAACTAACATACCTACTAGTTCTGCGCACACTGCCAAATAGGTGGGCATGAGATTCGCCATTGCTATTGTCTCTCCGAATATTTTACCATATTTGCTACAACTGGCCTTGCAACTAGCCAGCCCACCCGGGGCTTGGTGAGAACTCTAACATCAATTCGCCGACGGAACAACATAATGATATGTCATCTTTAATATATCAGGTTTCTGTGAATCAGAAGCCTGCGACGTTGCGTGCTGGGGTGAAAGAAATGGCAGGGGAGGCTTGGGACAACTATTCGGGGCTAGTGACGATATGCAGAAGGCTAGCTCATGTGGCAGAAACCTTCACCAACGACGCTGATTGGTTTCTCTTTGATCCGGCAACGTGCATTGCATTAATCGTTCACATCCTCTATCGTGTCGAAGATAGAATCGGGCACCGACGGCTGGGAACCGGGAATTGGGGACCCACGAGAGACGCCACCCCAAATTAGAGGGGCTAACAGTCTCAAGCAGCGTGCTGCCTCATTAAGGCAGCGTATAGGCCAACAAGCACCAGAGGGACAGGAGTGCATCCAATGCACAAAAAGCCTTGGTGTCTTTGACTCATGGGGAGGATGACCCTGGAGACCAGATCCATTCCAGTCATCCACCGAATCTGACGGCGATCAATCTGGATCCTAGTCAGCTCCTCACGATGAACCAAGAGAAAAGATCGCGAAGGAGGAAGCGGTCCGCAAGAGAGAAAGAAGGAAACAAACTAATTCGACCTCTGAAAGCGAAAAGAAGATGTCTGAATATCCGGATCCAGTGGTACTGCCGGTCGGGATGTACACCATGAGACATATCAAGAAGGTACAACGGTGCTGTGAGATAGAGGAAGGGCGGTTATATCGTGGACGACAGAAATTTTCCTGGGTTTATTATGCCCCAAGGGACTGAATTAAACACACTTACATCAGGTATTATCCTGAGCACATCTTTCACATTTAAGCGTAGAACGCTCTAGGTGTCGTGATAGATGTAGGTCTTATATCAAGTAGCTACTTATGATTGATAACATATCATGACATAATATCATATTAACAAACAGGCCTCTGATCCTCAGAAGGCTCCCGACCCTGCTGCCCACTCGGGTCAGCCAAGAATAACGGTATGTTCTATATAACTATCAAATCCATCGTTCCACATCCCCTATCAACATATTTCACAGACCCTGTGGAGCAGTCAACTAACGTTCTAGTAGTTCACGAGTCCAGCGCCTTCGCTGCGTTATGGGTCGTCGGCCTGAGCTACCCGCCCACACCCACCGCTGCCCTAAACCCATTGGAGATCCGCGCCGTGGCAAGCTACCTCGACTAGCAGTGGACCTACTGGTTGCGGTATCATGCTCTGTGGTCTTGTATTGACCGCTTGAAGCAGCAGCTGGGCTCTGATGCAGATTGTTATAGGGGTAGGTTTAGGAGTAGCTGTCCAGTACCGAAGTTCCCAAAGAATGAACAATGCCAAGAGGTCAGATGATTATTATAGGCGCTAAAGAAAGGACTAGTACATGACGATGGTATAAATTATCCATCGATGTACGGAGTAGACAACCTCGATATCCCAACTTCAATATGATAGGGGTCTTCGGATAAACATGAAACGTGAAGAGCTTGGCGCTAGGCATCCCCATGGATAAGGACTCTGACACCATACTCCACCCAAAAGACATGCTCGTAGACCCATCTTATTTGAAACGCTTGCAGGTGACGGAGCCGAGGCAAGCCAATTTTACCTAGCGGGTTGGTATCAGTTCGGAGCATGAGTGGCTTTGGTCCTGTACGTATGGGTCTTCGTATCTTTGGCCGTTCGGTCAAATGGTCCACTACAATTTCATACAGAATAAGGAGTACACCCCCATGCCGCCCCATAAGGCGATACGATCATCCCTCAATCCCCATTGGCACCCCCGACCTTCCCGCCACAAGTGAACAACACAACCTTCCCCCTTATCCGTGACCAGGGTACACATCCTTCTCGGAGAGACGGTCTTGGATCGGCAGACCAACCAGTCACAGATCATCCTGAACGCACGTTGTACATTGTATATTATTCGCTCAGCTATGGACCGGAAGTCTCCGGCCCGCGAGCGGAGCTAGCTAGATATATGTAGAAGTCGAAGCGGAGATCATGGACGTTGTCTGATCCTCCAGGAATAACAGCCTTGCCCGGTTGGAGTGCGGGATAAATTTTCCGTCACGGCAAGGATGGTGTCGCGTTGACCCGCCCATTGCATCATATACGAATGAAGAAGCAACAGTAGTTGCACGGGAGGCTGTATTTAGCTGGTATTGGCAGAGAGAAGGATGTGGAGATCGGTTAGTGCCGCCAAGCGCGTCTGAAAAGCCTAAAAAGGACTTACAAGTGCTTTCGCTTATGTTTCTAGTGCCTTGGCGTCCGGTTGCGAAATTTGTTCACGGGATCTCTTGGCAGGCGATCCAGCCTTATCTCTCTATGGTTTTTCTTGGCTTTACGGTAATACCGTGTATGAGCGTCAACGGTTTCCTTCGGTGTTAAGGCAAGCCCCTTTTCACTTATTGCGGGGTTAATGTTTGTATTCCCTACGTAGTTGAGTTTCCCATTTGCGGTGTATAGAAGTCAGTCGGGTATTGATTTTTATGTTCATATATACATCCGAAATTATCCCCAGTCGGCTCAATTATCTCCATTTTCGTGGAGAACAAAGGCCAGACAAAGAGAGTAAAGAAAATCACCAATCATGATCTGAACAAATATGAAAGAAGAATAGGCCAAAAAGAATGAAAGTGTGAATCATAGAAAGGCAGAAAATGCAAGATATGCGAAATAAATGAAACAAAAGAGTGTATAACACTTAGCAGGAAGCAAACGCCGCCAGGGCATTGCTTTTCAAGAAATCATTCGAACGTCTTTTCCAACTCAAAAATTATACTGTCGCCATAGGAATGCTAGTCGTAGGCAGCGGAGCCGCACCTTTCTCGTCCTCTTCGAACGTCCACTTCTCCAATTTCTGAGCCATGCGTGCGCAGAAGGGGTCAACGTACCCGGTCCACAAAGTGGCGCAGAAGTATACCAACGCAATCCAAGCCGGGATACTGATAGCCACGACCCAAGGAGCACGGATGGGAATCCAGTGTGGGTGGAGGGGTTCGCCGTCCTCGCCGTAGATTGGGTTACCCTTATCGTCGACGATGTCACCGTCCCAGGGCTGGCCGGTAATTCCGTAAAGCATCCAGCACAGAACGGTGCGGAGGAGAGTGCCGTGCACGAGGTAAACGGCGAAACTCTGCTTGCCGAGCCAGAGGAGGAGGCGGCTGGAGAGGAACTCCTTGGTGGAGGGTGAGATATAGATGGCGAAAATGATCAGGTCAACGCCTAGGGCGGAGTAGCGCTTGCCGACGTTGACTTTCGGGGGGAAGATGTAGTGTGAGGCCTGTTCCATGTAGGTTGACCATGTGGCCCATTCTGGGTGTTCTCCGGGGTAGGAGCAGATGAAGAGACCGATGCAGAGAAGGGTGCCTGCTACAATCTTGCGGCCCCAGCTGTGGCGTTCGACGAATGCTTTGAAACCGTTCTCATACGAGAGATCGCTGAGGAACATGCCGTAAATCGCCTGCATTTGGAAGGTTTCTATTTCGTAAATTAGTACCAGTGAGGATTTAAGCTTCATGTAGAACTTACCGGTGTTCTTGGCTGCGTCCTGGTGGAAGTAGAGGTACATGCCCAAGTAAATAGCTAGGCGGAATCGGAACTTGACAAACATTGTTGCGCAGATAAGGACGTAAATCAACATGGATGCCTGGAGCAGCGGAAGCAAAGCCCACTGGTGATCATCGTATGCCATATAACCCGTAGTCCAAACCTCGAGGAAGGTCTTGAATAACCGGACAACCTCATCCCAAAAAGTCGGGGCCAAGTCGACGGCTGCATAACGACACCACCAACAGTCGGAGCGGTTAGCAGCGATGAAGGCGCCACACTGTGCCATGACCCATGAGATGATCAAGGCGATTGTAGCGGGAAAGATGAGGCGAGGTGGGCGGCGGAAGGCACTCTTGCCCACCGATGTGAAAGCTCCAAGGGTGTCGCCATTTCGAGACTGTTTGAGCGGCTTGAGGGCGCAAACGTAGCCAGTCAAGAAGGCGAAAATCGTGACACCTAAACGACCCTGCCAAGGAATACGGAAGACGGGCCACTGCAGAATTCGGGGAGGGACGTCAACATCGTCGCGAGGGGCGAAGAGGTCATAATCCCATGCTCGGGCAAGGTGAGTTAGGATAACTAGGAATGAAGCGATTCCTCGTAGGCCCTATTCATATTAGCAAGGTCATGCCTACGAGGCGGAGATGCGAAACTCACATCAATCCACTTGACACTTTTCCGTGGATCACCTTTCACTGATGGATCTGCGGACTTCCAGGGAATGTTGTCCAATATGCGCGAGTAAATATGAGTTGGTTGGATATACTCCATGATGAGTGTAAAGAGTGTATAAGAAACCGAAGTCCGATAGGAAACTCGGGGTGTCTAGTGGGCTGGTTGAAATGAAAAGGCCAAGACCATGAACATTAAAGGTCGAAATGCTCCAAAAATGTCAAAAAAAAAAAAAAAAAAAAACAAAAGGCTGAGGTTCAAGGGAGAGCGAGGTAGGGACAGATAAGGTTGAGCCTAGAATTGGTATACCTCCATAGATCAACGAGTGTAGACGGAAAAGTTCAGAGGAAAAAAAAAGAGGCCAAGACAGCAGAATGGGGTATTAAGAGAAATCCGAAGTTCGTTCTCGCCATTCCAAGCTGAAGATCGCTTGGCCAAGCGGAAATGGGAAGGCGAACGTGAACATCGGGGTGTACATGAAGTTGTGGAGCTTGAAAATAACATACCAATTTCACACCCTTGTAATATGACGCCATGTAAATTATACATATTTCTGATTTATGAGACCTCGATGCATAATTATAAGATAAGTCTCTCGTTTACCATTCCCTATTTAGATGTGACGCGTACGAAGTAAGATAGATATCAATCTACGGGAGCAAAGTGCATACTTCATATCTTTTACATATGTCTACAAAGTGAAAGGGGCTTCAACATGAAGATATATTAAGCTATCGATTAATGCAGAGAAGCTGACGACGCCTAACGTGCCATTGTCAAAGTAGTATTCCAGTAAACCAATTAACAGCGAGGATGTCCCCCATGTGAACCGTGGGCTATATCCGCCTCAATTACGCCAGAGCTTGGCATTTTGAGCACGGAGTCCAGGTATCGGATTTAATTGGCCAAGGTAATCCCAGCGGCAAATCGGAAGAGATGTTTCGAATTAAGTTCCTTTTTTTTTTTTTTTGAAAAGCCAACCGCCTAGGAAAGGGATGGAATTTCATTGAAACTTGAACACCCCCTGTTTCCGCCAAATACGAAACCGAGTTTTTGATTGATGCGAATACGTTTATAGGGAGTACGTCCTATGTTGTAGGATATTGTATGGAATATATTGTAAACGTTCTCTGAAACTCGGAGTCCGTGACGATCTTGAAGATCGCCTATCCCGAACTTCCCGAATATCATGTTCGACACACCGTTTCAAGGAATGGTGACCAGGAGCAATAATTTAAAAGAGACAAAACAGATTAACATTCCGTCCCTTTTTGGAATGTACACCACGACTATTCGATTTAAGGGATTTTAAATAGACATGGTAACTCAATAAGATCGTCAGTCAATAATGCGGAGGAGACTCTTGGCTCTAGTTCCAAGTGGGAATAATTATTCAGGTCCCGTCCGTCGCCTCCTAGACTATTGAAAGAATGGGTCCTTCTAGAATTTGTAATTGGCGATAATGACACTCGACGTACACTTTTGACCACATGACAACGTAGGGCAGCGTGGACTGGTTACTTTATCCAAATCAACCTTTATATTCCGTCTAGGTTACCCAGGTCCTGCTAGAGCCAAGACTAGGAAATCGGCATATAAAGTCAAGGGGAATAACGAACGTGATGCCGAGCAAAGTGAAATCCAAGCCCTATGGGGATCTCCTTCCCGCAACTGTCATTGTCTGATCGAATGGGAATAATTCGGTGCTTGGCGACCCATAAATTTCATCCAAAAGTCAAAAAGTCCGAGCAAGTTTCCAGGGATCGGAGTTCGTTTTTCATAAGTTCCCCTGCATGGCGTATCGATATGAGCAGGGGGTCTCTACATCCCGTCAATGATACTCGGGAGATAGGTATGTTTAACATCGTACACACGTATTCTTTACCTAGCTGGGTTCTAGAACCGGTATTAACGCCTCTGTGGACCTGTACCCACTTTCTAAGAATTAAGTGTGAGAAATCAGATATGGTTCTCTAGGGCTGTCAGTGGTAATACAAGTTACAATACCTTGGCATCCAGGTGGCCAAGGTTACGCAATTTTGGTTTCCCGCCTGAATCTACCCCTTAGTCAGGAGAACTTGATGGTATCAGGAGAAGCACCTGGGTAGGAACATTGTCACTTCTTCAAAATGCGGCTTGGAACAGTTACAGCGTTTCTTTCATGGGCCTTGGTCGCCTCGGCCACCATTCTCGAGAACGGTCAAGTAAGAGAGAATGCGTATCCTGGCCAGTTACAACCAGTGACTTTGGACAATTCTTGGAGGAACTATCCAGCGGATGCTCCGGAGATATCTTACAAAGGTCGTTGGGATAGCCAGCACATTTCCTGTATGTTCCCCGTGGCGCCGGGCCTCTTCCCCATGGCTCCTCTTCCCCGGATTCCCGTCTTAACCTTAATACTAACTTTGGATAGGGTGGTCGTACGTGTTACTCTCTAGTATATAATCGCGTTTACTAATGGATTCAGTGCACCGGGAATCAAAGTCGAGTTCTCTGGGGAAAAGGTATGTACATCCCTTCCGTTCCGATCTTAAGGGTCCACATGCTCATATCATTCTAGCTTGCTGTCCATTTCGGCCCAAATACCAACACAGGTGTTCTTGTGGCTTACCGGTATGTATAAACCTTGCTGTTCATGTATTCATTCTAAACCTTGACAGGGTGGGCTCTCTCGACTGGCAATTCTCTAACATCACCGCCGACTCAACATATCAATTTGTTGGACCGTGGTCAGAGCTCAAAGATGATGATCAACCCATCGACAAAAATGTGTTTGAGATGAGAGGTATGCCTTCCATCAACCCCCGGTGGCAATCTATATACTAACTGCATTATAGTGACAAATTGGGGCATTGGATAAGTCTCTCCCAGCCATTCAATATGTGCATAACTTACCCTTCATACAGTTCAAATTGCTGGTGTAGCCGTCGCGAATGACGCCGTCATCACTAAGGCTCCGACCTTCGAAAAGAGAGTTGAGATCATCGGCGGCTCGTGAGTCTTCGCATCTTGCCAATTGTCTTCCACGCAACTAACCATTCCCAAGTCTTGCATCTGGGCAATTCGCCACCTACGAGACCGTCTCCTCGTGGTCTTTCCTCCTCGCTAACGGCTTGGGCAATGTCGAATATGGCATCACAGTCAGTTCGCTCGCTCCTTAATATTCCCGAACCCGAAGCCCCGATATGCTGACACAGTCTCACAGGCCTATCCCGGCGTATGTCTCGCGGATGAACAATGTTACAACGGTGGCTCTCGTGGTGTAGTATGCCACCCCCATCTCTACTATGAAATCCACCATCAACTAACAACACTCCCAGGGCTGGTACTGGCACCGCGCCTCAGACCCCGGCTCGCGAGCACGTGCAATCTATGACCACAGCCCTGAGAAATGGGACGTGAAAGCAGAGCAACCGGCCGATCTTGTGATCATCCAAATGGGCGGTAACGATCACCGCCACCCCAATGAAATCCCCGGCAGGGACTACTACCATGCCTATGTGGAGTTGGTAGAGGATATCCACTCTAACTGGCCTCATGCAATCATCGTTCTCATGGTATGTCTTTCTTCCATGTACAGCTTTAGCTGCATCTAACTCAAATCTAACTCTCGACAGTCTCAATGGGGAAGTTTCACCAAAGAAGGCAAGAAGTGGGTAGGTAGCACTTACTACCAGGAAGAGACCAAGCAGGTCAATGAGCACTTCAAGGACCGTGGTTTCGTCTACTATTTCCCCACAGAGGGCCTATTACAACATAACGATATTAACCCCAAGAACCATCTTACGGATGTGGGACATGTCAAGATTGCGAGTCACTTGTTGCAGTGGGTGAAGTTGGTGCTTAGGTGGAATCTTGAGCCAACTGGTGAAGTCCAATCTGGAACTACTTACTGGAACGATCAGCAGGAATACTGATCGTCCGTTCTGGGGACAGAAATTGGGGTTGGATAGTTACCTGGCCTTTGTATATTTATTTCTTGGATACTTGGCACAGTGTGAATAAATTAGAACATATATACTGCCTTTTATGATATTGTACTCTTCCGCGCATTTTTAAATTTGATGTCTGAGAAGTAGGAAATGTGTCCGAGACCCGTTTGGGCGACGGTCTTACCACGCAGTGTTCTCTCCCCAACTTCACTTGTCTTCCATCACACTTCAATCCGGCAGAAAGCGAATCGTATCACCGCCAAATATAAGTTTCGACAAAAGGATACACGAGAGAAAAATGTTCGGGCGTTAGAGAAGATGGCAGAGGCTTATTTTGCGAAATCGCCTGAGCAAAAAGTAGATAAAATCGTAGAGGAAAAGGTGCAGAAGAAAAGGTTGCCGTGGAAGCAGCTCTTACAAACTAGGATGTCAATCAGATATTGCTCGAATATCCCCTTGGAAAGCCTGGAAAGGGTAAGGATGGGGTTTAGGGCTTTTTTGCAACCTGTATTTTATCTGCTGGCTGGAACATCAAAAGGTTGACCTAAATTGGGAGGATGCCTTACCCAATAGACCCGACAGGGCAACCTGAGGGGGCCCGTTACAACTATCATTATGCATCTTCACCCTGCTTTTTATAATCTTCACACCTCTCGAAACATCCGTGTATGTTGCAATAGCTTTCGGCGTCTCTCGATAGCACAAATATGCACACTTATCAATTTCGAGATGGTCACTACCAGCGCAGATACTACTGTAGCAACCAGTAAGTACATCTTCTATCTACGCCGTCACTTCCGAAGACCTAGTTCTCAATCCCGGCGAGGATGTCGGAATCAATATGTTGGCCCACTGTGATATCTCGTGCCATGAGCACAGGCTTCTCACTATTCAAGGAGAATTTCTCCTAACAAATATGCACTTGTATCATAATATAGGTTTTGCACTACCCGGGTTGTCCTCTCCATCCAGCGAAGGGAAGAGATAACGAATGAATGCTTCGTTAATTGGGTCCAAAGGGAAATGTGCATCGCCTCCAGTGTGATCTTGGGTACTCGGGGTGGATAAAAGTCCAGATGGCAAAGAATCCTGGAGGTCCAAGTCATTATTGCAATGATTTACAGCATGATCGGTAACAGGAACAGTGGATGATTGGCCTTGACCGTGATAAGGTAAGACATGCGCACTGTCCATTGTTGGATTAAGCTGTGTAGGCGATGAAAGGCCAGCGGAATTAACACAGGGATCATCAGGTTGCTTATCCGGAGATCCTGGTATGTCGCTGGCATCGTATCCCATGCTAGACACCATCCGGCGAGCTGCACTTTGACAAAGTTGCCATGCACGATATGATGCCGTGCAATGCATGGACATCATGTACAGCCATCGGATGGACTTTTTCGCTGACTGAACCAGATCGCTTTCTCGGTCTTTCATATGCACACAGCCGAATGACAGCTCCAGGATGATTATTGTTGCTGTCTGCATGATATAGTGGAGGAAACACCACCATGGGGTGAACTGATATAGATGCGCGGAATCCGGCTCGTCGGGCAGCAAATCGAGCATGTGCATGGCCGATTCCAGGGTCATGATAGCCATGTCGTGGCTAAATCCCCGCTGCTCGAGACTTTTCCGTCGTTCTTGACTCCGAGTTGGGTTATACCGACAGAGACACGGCCGACCTAGCAGGATTCTTGTGCTATAATAGTGGAATGCCAAGTTTGTCTTTGCCCAGTAGGTTTGCTGCTTTTCGTCTCTCATAGAAGTGAAGTCCAGCCCGGGTGGAAGAGTCGATAGCCACGTATCGACATTTTCCTTCAGTCGTTTAATGGTGCCCTTGATATCTTCCCATGATACTAACGCACTCCCGGCTGAATAGACGCGGTCCAGGATTTCTTGATTCAAAACTGTGAGATCACAGTAGTACAGGAAATAAAGACTCGTATTGACTGGCAGGCTCTGAAGCCAAGAGCGCCCAGCTTTTGCTTCCTCAGTCTGCTGGCAGTCAGGGTGTCGAAGGTGCGGGCTTGTCATGGCCATGTTCACGTGTTTTTCTTTCATATGCAGGTCATCAAGAAGCTCTGAATTTGCTTCTTCTGGCAAATGATCTTCGTCAAAGGGGAGGGGTAGTTGAGCGGAATACATGTTGGTCGAAATAGAGGTTGTCCGACCAGTCATCGAGCCTAGCTTATGTTCGACTGTGTAAAGACACCACCAAACTCGACATGGTACCTCCTTCGCCACGCCTGGCATTTTCAGGGAACTGCTTTTCAGGTTGATACCAAGGGTAATGGCGGACCGAATTGCTAAATCTGAGATTCTCCATGCCCTACATTTATTAGATTTATTCGGTAAGGAAAAAGGCTCAATGGACTCTCACCTATTAATCTGGTTTGTCGATAGCATGTGAAATGCGACCAGCCCCTCTACTTGCACTTGCTCAAGATCCGGATGCTGGAATAGACTATCACCGCCCATACTTAGCATTCGAGCTCGTGTTAAGTAGAAGAGATGGTCTTTGATATCCCCCCGATGTGCCTCATCACTGTTATATAAGTATTCCGTTGCAATGGCAAAGATCATGTTCAATATTGCCATCCATTTATCACCCGCGTAAGATACGTCATTGACAAAATCTTTGTATTGACTGGCAAACAGAGTTTTGTTGATGATAGGGAAATGCGGGTGAACTGCGTGCAGATAAGTTTCAAACAGATGATCTGCCACCGATTGAGGCGGCACCCAATACATTTGTACCGGTCCGGGTGCATCAATACCCAGGTCATCAATATGATAGTTGACCATGGATGGAGCGACTTTGTCGGTGGTGTAATCTTCAGGCTTAGCTTTTGGTGTTCGATCGCGACTGTTCAGTTCGGTTTCTTCCTCCACACGGCCCATCCACGTAACCTCTGAGCTCTTGCCCATATAACCAGTGGCCCGGGAGCTTTCTGTTAGATTCAGGTCTTCCTCAACTCGATCGACCGCTTCCAGTGACCCGATGGAAGAAGGGGAACCAGATCGCTTAGACCCCCCAGTCTGGTCCTGAGACGCATCTGGCATTCCATTCAATGCATGGTCTGAATTGGAGTTGTACTAGTAAATGTATTAGTCAAAGGTCAAGGTACCTGGTATCTTTAATGTGATGAACTCCTCACCTTCTGGAGTAGATGTTTAATGCGTTCGGCAGATTGGCCGTCGGCCTGATTTACTACCTCTTTCAACGTAGTCTCGTAATCCTGCACTTTTCCCTCAAGACTTCGGATTTGCCTAGCAATCGCTTTAGCTCGTGTCCCAATTTATTGCATGGAAAATAGGTATTGATATATTGGTTATTGTCGAGCAGTACTTCACATCCGGCAATGCAGATAGATGAGTTCTGGTTATTCTTACTTGATTGTTTTTTCACGCGACTTTAGCGGATAGATGCATGGAGTCTTCGCCTCTTCACATTGGCCACAACTTGGAGTTCTGCCATTACACTTTTGTTTTCGCTGATGACATGATGCACATGCCCGTGAGACTCGTTTGTTGGATGACGGTACGAAGGTAGACCGTTTCCGGGGAATTGCGACTTTCATGGCAAGTTTGGCCCTTGCATATTTAACTGGGCAAAAAGATGAAAGTATCAGGTATTTCGATGGCTCTTTGGCAAGTCATGAAAGAAATGACATCACATTGGCACATTTTCCTACGATGACGTCATATGGGAATACAATATATGTGAAGAGACAGCAATTGTATAGATATATAATTGAGTCGAAAAGATCATGAGTATTCTAGTCATGCCAAACGTAAGTTCACTACTCACGGCGGTGCGCCCTACAGAAATTTTATATGCGGTTGATAGGTGTTTTGGAGTAGGGCATATACTAAGTCCAGAAAACCATCGCTTTGGAATTGAGAAATAGTCTCATGCTTATGAGGGCATGTACATAGATTGGCGCGATGGACACAAAAACCTGCCGTAATATGGCAAGGGACATTTTGAATTCGGACTTTTGCAATTCGTTTCTGTCGAGGATGCGCTAAACTGGTTTAATCAGGACTATTAGCAATATTCTGAAGCTTACACTGTAACGATATGTTGTCGGACAGCACAACGTTGATCACCTTGACCTAGTGATTTTTCCCCGGACAACCAACCCCCGTTACCCCGGACTATCATCCCCCGTAGTCCCCACAAATACGAACAGTGCGGGGAATCCCACGCTAGAGATATGTATATATTCTCGCCAAGAATACGGTAAACCAACGATAATGGGCAGGATACGCCAGGACATTGTTGTGGGTCGTGCACTTGGCAGCTCCTTCGGGCATAGACCAAAGGTAGACTGTAAGCATATTTGGTCACCCTTTCGCTTTCGGGGCAGGCTGTAGAACCTGAGGGACCGATTAATGGCCCCTCTTAATCCCCGCATATGACATTCTGTTACTGGAAGAGACTGTCCTACACCGAGGGGGTATAAAAGCGCAAATGTGCTGCTTCAATTCTGCTGGTATACCTCAACTCCGTCGACTGCCAACATAACCTCCACAGTTTTTGATACATTCCCATAGTGTCCATATATAGATCACTACCGTTAACATGGGGTTTCTCAATCGTCTGCGGATGACAGACACTCCTAAGGAGGTCTTCAACCGCCATCTCTTTTGGTCTGTGGGAATATTCGGTGCGCATACACCTAACCCTTCCGTATTCAGCGCTAAAGAAGAGCAACAGGTGTCCTCGGAGCAGGCAGAGGAATTGACGAGGGTCTCGTTGGCGGCATGATCTCACTCAAAAGCTTCAAAAGCGAATTTCCATTAGACGCCGGCTCTGCGTCGGAGATCGCCAACCGCGAATCAAATATCACAAGTATGGTACAGCTTGGGTCAATTGGTGGCGCATTGCTAGCATTTATTTTGTGTGATCGAATCGGTCGTGTAAGAACACTCCAGGTTCTCACAGTTACATGGGCCGTCGGCTTTGTTATTGTCATTACCAGCTTTGGCAGCATCGGGCAGATTCTCGCTGGCCGCTTGATTGCCGGTATTGGCGTTGGTATGACCACGGTGGTTGGCCCGACATATTTGGCAGAAGTCGCTCCGAAGGAAATTCGGGGTATGTTGACTAACATCTTTGCCGGCGCCGTGTACCTCGGTGTTATGATTGCCTATTTTGCGAATTGGGGCTGCTCTGAGAATATCTCCGATTCTTCTCGGTCCCAGTGGGTAATTCCACAGTCTATTCACATCATATTTTCAGGGTAAGTCAGTTCCACAAGAGTTACCATATTTCTGATAGACTGACCAGATCTTTGATATCAGAATCATCTTCCTTGTGTCTTGGACCGTTCCGGAGACTCCTCGTTTTCTTTCTATGAGAGGAAAGCATGAACAAGCTCTCAAGAATCTTTGCATATTGCGTCAGCTTCCAGCCGATCATCCAAGCATCGTGTCTGAGATGCTTGAAGTTCGCTCTCAACTAGAGAGCGAACAGGAAAGCAGTTGTGGATCTTCATTCTGGGGGAAATTGAAGGAACTGGTCACGATCCCAGCGAATCGCTACCGCTTGATGCTGGGCGTGATGTCGCAACTGCTCGGGCAATGGTCCGGCGCGTCGGCGATTACCATCTATGGAGCGAGCTTTTTTGCGGCGCTTGGAAAAACTGGTCAAAGTGAAAAGCTTTTCGCCACGTGCATCCTGGGCGTTGTCAAATTTGTCTCTGCCTATATTTCTGCATTCTTCCTTATTGATTTCCTCGGCCGTCGTCGCTCCCTTTACACGGGAATCGTCTTGCAGGCCCTTACCATCTGCTACATTGCCATTTATCTGGCAAAGGTTCCTGCCTCAGCCCATGTTACCGAGGATGGTGCAAGTGCGATAACGGGCTCTGCTAAACAAGCGGGCATCGGCGCAGTCGCGGCAATCTATCTCTCTGGCTTTGGGTGGGCAATTGGCTGGAACTCGTTCCAATATCTGGTCAACGCGGAGATTTATCCCAGTCGGCTACGTGCCCTTGGCTCGTCGATTGTGATGTGTACACATTTTGCGAATCAATTCGGTAACACCAAGGCTGTTCCCAGCATGATCATCGCGATGAGCAATTACGGCTTTTTTGTATTTTGCACGGCGGTTTGCATCTTGGGTCTGCTCTGGGTTTGGTTCTTTGTTCCTGAGACTGCGGGAAGAAGTCTTGAGTCAATGGAGACATTGTTCGATTTGCCTTGGCACCAGATTGGTCGTCATGGAAAACGCCTTGCTCCTGATGGGATGGGTCACTTTGACGACAATGACAGAGAGAAAGCCACGGCAGTTCACCAGGAGTAGCCCTGACACGGAACAATCGAGGCTTTCGGGCGTGATATTTGCCTAGCCATTCAGTGCCATTGGTCGCTTGGCTTTATCGAAAAGAGAAGAATAACATAAAGTCCAGATGTCGCAAAAGATGAAGATGTTTAAGTGAAACGCGTAAAGGCGAAAAAAGATGAGCCGTGTATTCCGAGGAAACTCATTGAGAAATAAATGTTTTCTTAGGAGACACAGGAGCATGTGATCCTAACTGTTGAGTCTTCCCAGGATTCGAAACAACCGAGATTTAAGCTGTCTCGCCTGTTCATTTCCCGGATTAGCCCCCATATCCTCGATATCCTGCAGCATCTTCCCCAACCGCATAGCAGCATGACGCAAAGTCTCACGCGCCGCAATCGTCTTTTCCTGGCGATCTAGCTCCATGGCCCCAAAATATACCGGTACCTCAGTTACAACTACTGTAGGCTTTGTTTCGACAGTATCCCCGTTGCTCGGTGGGGAGTGATCTACCGTGACCCGTGAGTTGAAGTGGATCTCGGGCCGAGAGTGCACATACCGATTCCCCCGCCATCCGACTCCTTGCCCCAGCCTCCCAGTATGGACTCAACCGCCGCCTCGTACAGCGTGAGCGTCTTTACCGCAGCCTCCATCATTGCCCGCAGCATGCTTGTATCCAGATGTGTATCGGTTACAGTGCAGCCATGCAATAGTTCCCAGTGCTCGACCAAAGCTGTTCCGAGGGAGAGGACCTCATCTAGAGGGATGCGGTAGGTTTCTGTTGGAGATCTGGTCGAGAGGTCTGGAAAGCAGCCCAGGGTTTCTGTTGTCCGGGCGAGACAGTTGCAGGGCAGTTGGGGTGGCTGCATGGTTGGAGTGTTTCGAGTCAGTTGTATGTTGTCCAGTTGTCTAGAGAGTGAGGTATGTGAATTTATGAGCTATTGGATTGCACGATCTCGAAAAGTGTTGGGGGAGTTTAGGGTCTTGCGCTGGAATTACCTTGCAGGTCAAATTATTCGGGATAGATGGAATAGGGGTTATGCAAGTTCTTCCTTTTGGGAGGTCCCGACATTCCAATGTTCGGGCATTATTCCATCGAGATTTCTTCCATTATTGGCTCGGAGCGAGAACTCGTACTTTTAATGCACGCCACAACCCTTGTATCGGCAGTAATACGGGCTTAATCAACTTGGAAACTTCTATCAACTTCCGGGGGGATTGCAAGGTGTTATTTTCGGGTTTAAGTGTATTTAATTAATTCCATTTGTATCCCATTTTCATTACTCATACGAGTTCTCGGCTCTGGCAGGGCACCCTTTTCCAATTTTCTGTCCAATGTTCAAAACGTATACTCCGTATATCCTTATTTAATTTATGGGATTGGTAGACCCCTGCATGATTAATGCGGAATGGCAGAATTCTCGTACCCAATTAGGAAGGCCCTGGAACTGTAGAATATAGAGACGTTTGTCAAATATATTGCGTCTCGTCGATATATAAACAAAGGCCCGCGTCACCTACCTCCGTTTGTGCTGGCTGCAGCCACCGGAAACTTATAAATACCTGCCCAGCCCCAAATTTCTTCCTCTTCTTTTTCCTCTCCATCTTAGTGCACGGGCTTTACACGTATCAGTGAGGAGACATCCGAGATCGTGTTTTTGCTAGTTGAAAACTACCAACGTGACTAACTTCAAGCGAGCTCCTGGCATGCTTGGGAATTTTTGAAACAATGCTGCCTTGACTTTTGAGTCCTTTAGTTCGATTGATACTTGGATGGGAGACTTCGCGGTCACCCTCCAGTATCTGGAAGTCTTTTCACCACTTACTACCCATGCGGTGGCTCTTAGAAAAGAGATCCTCATTCTACAGCTCTCACTTAGACAGCTCTCATTACAGTGATAAATTTTTAAATTATGTTCTCTCTTCGCGAAAGCCGTGTACAAGATCATGGATTGATTATGGACCAAGGAAATATACATGTTGATACTAGGCTAGCTACTCCATATGTATATCGAGATGGTAGCAAAGTTGCGCCTGACTGGTGAAATACTTTCAAGCTGAAAGTTTGAATGAATTGGGCTGCTCTAACGAGGCGCAAACGCCCTCTCCAGGCTGCGGAGCACCAATTCCTCTAAACTAACGGACGACCAAGGCCTAGATGGCTTCTCCCAAGGCATCGACGTCTTCCCAGCCTCAGCCTCAGGGGAAGAGCCGACCTCACCAAGCACCCAAAGCTGCCCATACAGCCGAGACGGGCCAAACACAGTCCTCGTGCAACTTTCGGAGCCGATGAAAGAGAAAATCCACAGGGGGTACGAAGCTGACTAGAGACTGAGCAAGTCGCCACGCTACACGACGAGGAGGCTTCCGGCGACCCAGTCCCCACTGGGCTGCCCTATAGGCCTATTCCGCCAGTTCCACTCTTCCTTGTAAGGACTCCACCCGGTGGAGGTCTTCGGCAATCAGTTTCGCAGATCTTTTATAACACCTCGGGCCCGAAAAGCCTTTTCATATCGACCAACGTAACCAAAAGTTTCCAAATCCGACCCGGTAAGATCCATCTCATGGGCCATAACTTGGCCTCACCGCCAACTCTGAATATCCCCCAAAAGTAGATTGCAGCTTGCCTCCGGGACGGGACAATAATGTTTCGATCGAAGCTGTCACGGATAGAGCGCTCGAAGAGAGTAGTGGACTGCTGAGCCGATGAAGTTCTCGTTCCACCGGGGGAAACGAGACTGGAGTTTCTTGGTCATGCAGAGCGAAACATGCGCTCTCTCTCGTGGGCGGAGATCGCTGCTCGGTGAAAGATCCTCCAAAAGCAAGACGACACCTTATACAAGCAAGCTCAAAGCCGTAAGGCTGAAAGGTCGTGAAGAAAGACATCCTCCGTTTCTACCACATTTAAACAGTTGTTCATTGACCAGGCGAGTGTCCCGCTCGATTGTTATGACCACATCGATTGTTAGGGGCCTTTCCTTTGTGCCACCAGAATGTTCGAGCCAGGCGAGCGACGGAGAATGCTCAAATAGCATCCACTCTGACATGGTCCATCGGGCTCTGAGGCTGGTCGGGGGGCGCTTGTACTAAGACTACCATTTCGGTCGACTGGGTTTGTGAGCGAGCCGATTCCTCTGTCGCGATCAGAGGTATATATGCTTTGGTCGTCAGGTTATCTCCGATTTTTGGAAGGGTTTGGGGGCTTGGGGGCCGTAAAGAATTCGCTGAAACTGAAGATTCACCAAATTGGCCTGATGCGAATACGGCGGGGTGGGAGATTGAGGATGAAAGTAAACTGGTAAAATCGGGGTGACAAAGTCCAGCCGTGTCCTTGGATGCTTTAGCCACTTTTGAATGATGTCTCGTGGGCTGATGGTTGCCAGTACAATTAGCGGTGTCAGTTGAGTTCCATCACTGTTTCTGGTTGACCTGACAAGCCCCATACGGAGTCGGCTCTACGGATTCGATCATGAACAACTTTTGAAAAGTATATGGAGGGTGTTAATCCCGAGAATATCATCGTTGCCGGGTCAAGTGGGCTTGGAGATGTTTTCTCGAGCTCAGCGCTTCTTGGTGTGCGACGCTCCTACCTTGATGGTTTGCATGGCAGCTAGACCATGCGAATTGCTCTTTGGCGTGACATGTTTGTGTGCCCTCATTCTGAGCCGAAGGGTGGGAAGGACGATCAGGGCAGCATTGTTCCTATGGCGTAGTCGGGTTGAGCAAGGGCTTGGCTTGCCTCGGGCAGGACGCCCACCTCATTCTCATCAGGTCGAGCGGTCTAGCGGCACTCTCGTATCTCAATTCTCAAGGTTCGACAAGTCTCGAACGTTAAAAATATATTATGTACATAACTTTGAATAAAATATGTACAAGAGAAAGCTTGGAATGCAAGGGTCCAGACTTGATGTGGAGCAGTTCCAAGTCTCCAGGGCTTCGGGTTTGGTTCGGGGATAAGGTTTTGGCTTTTTCGGGGTGGAGACAAGAATTATGCTTAGATCTGATATCTACATACTCAGTACATGTTATGTGCATTGTATAAAGAGATCAGAGCAAGAATGATCTTGAAGTCTCAAAAATTCTCAAAATGACAATCTCTACAAACATTTAACCTGTACAAGTATTTAACCTTGGAGATTTTCAAGACTTGTCCATGCTTATTTTATGCATTCATATGAATCAGCCCAATGAGGCAATTACCGAGGTATCCAACCATTTCATCTGCCAAGTCCTTTCTATTCCCAACGACCCCACATATCATGAATAGATTGGCTCAACCGTTGTTATCGACCAATGTTATATCGCCTGCACCGGAATAACTTCCATTTCGGGTGTCAGTCACCGAAGGAGATTTTCTTTTTTTCTATTTTTTTTTTTTATAATGCTAGCATATAACAAGACAGAGCCAGCGAAAGACTTAAACCTGCACTTTGAATTAAAACTAGATCAAGGCTATATCCCCTTGAGCAGCCTAACTCACAGCACACTTTCACAATGGCTCCACAACCGCTTCCATTCCCGGGCTTCACCCCGATATCTGACCGTGTATACCTTCGCAATGGCCATGAAAAGGCCAAGCCAACCCCGGCCGACGAGCCAACAACAATCCTCATTTCCGGCTGGGGCGATGGCATGCCGAAACACGTTACCAAATACTCCGACGGCTACCATGAGCTCTACCCATCTGCGCGGATCATCGTCATTCTATCACGCACCTTCCAAGCTACCAACCAACCCGAGGAAGCCAGAATTCAGGCCATGATACCAGTCATCGACACCATTTTCCCGACGCCAACCGGCGACGGAAATGAAAAGGAACGTCTGCTCGTACACGCCATGTCAAATACAGGCGCCATCTTCGCAGCCGCTACCATTATCGCATATCAGCGTCGCCACGGCGCAGACAAGCCATTCCCCCACCCGCTCATGGTGTTGGATTCCACGCCCGGAAGTCTGCACTTCGCGTCGCAGGCTGTCAGGTGGTCGCGTGCTATGGCGGTCGGCACGGCCAAATTCTTCCCTTGGCCTTTCCTTATCACCCATGGTTTGTGGTATCTTTTCCTCTGGGCGAACTACCTGTGGGGAGTCGTGCGCGGTGTGGAGGCTTCCGGTGTGTGGGCGGACCGCATCATAAATGACAAGGCCTGTGTCACGACCGAGTCTAGCAGAGTTTACCTTTACTCCAAGGAAGATGATATTATTGGTTACAAGGATTTGGAGGAGAATGTTGCTCATGCCAAGACCTTGGGATACGCGGTTGATCTTGAGATGTTTGAGGGTTCCTCGCATGTCGGCCATATGAGACTTCATCCTGAACAATATTGGAATAAGGTTGCCAGCTCTTGGAAGCAGGCCGTGGTGGAGAAATAAGGTGGAAAGATTAGATATATATTGTATGCATTGTGTATTAATACCTTAGACCATGTTTAATAATTATATAGAGCCATTATCTCATTGTTGACAGTTTCATCGATACTCGCCAGTTTGCAGAATGATACGTACATGGTCAGATCAGCCAAGCCTTTGGGGTATTGTGGGGTGTCGATCAACCCCTGCAGCGTGGGGATAGACGTACGATCTATATCGGCACATAACTTGGTCTTAGGTTATACTTATTCATTTGCCCTCAATTGCGACTCAGATACGATTTGCAAAAGAACCGGCAAGGTATTCATAAGTAGCAATTCATCAAATAATTAAATCAACAACTCAGGATCATATCAATCTAGTTCTTCCAAAGCAATGCGAAAATGTCCAAAGACAACAACCCATCAAATCCACTCTGGAGATCCAATCTAGTCACGATCATCAGGATGGAAAACCAACGCTCGCACTTCGATACTCTCTCTTCCGGCTTCATGTTCCGTTTCCGGGTTCACAAAAGCAGTATGAGGCACACGACGAGCTCTTCCATCAAGCTTGGAATCAAAGCACTTGATAAGTGTCACCAAGTCCGGAGTCTGACCGTAGCGGTAATACCACTTGATATTAGGATCCGGCTTGACGGAGTATGTCTCGCCCTCGCGGTCCGGGTATATGAGCCCGAGGGGCACAAGGTCACTATCTGGCACCGAGTGTGCATCCGCCACAGCCAGTGGATCTTTCAGAATTGTCTTGATCGGACGCCAGACGTTGATAATCTGGTATCGGCCCTTGAGAAGCTCGGGTGCCTCGTCTGGGAGATGGAAGGGGACTCTGCTCTTGGATGCGCTATAGGATTGATCGACGTGTACGCGTTGTACAGGTCCGCGGAGCTGGGCACCGATGGACTTATCAGTTTGGGACCGGCGGACGGTATGGTCGAAGATGAAGATGCGGGAGGCACCCGTGCTGTTCGGGTTATTATTAGTCTTATTTGAAGAGATTCCGGGGGTTGGGAATTGCGTACGCGTCTTTTAGGAGCTGTTCTGTTTCCGCGTAATATGCCGTCTTGATTTTCTCGTCGTCTAGAAAGTCCTTCTCTTGGCTTTCATGATAGTAGAGTTGGAATCCATGGCTGTCGAGCTTGTAGTCAAGTTCGTGGCCGCTGATATCGTGGATGGTGGCAGCGAGAGGATACACAGGTCGGTCGTAGGTTTCCGGTCTGCCAACGTACGATGGTGCTGGGGGAGAGCCATCCTCGTTCTCTTTGAAGTAGTTAAGTATAGTCTGGACATGGTGAGGCTTTTCGGAGACGGAGACTCCGGGCTTTTCTGAAGTCAGAGAGCCATGAGAACTGGGAAGTTGGACAGCTGCAGAAGCCATGTTGAGTTAGTTAACAGAGATTAGAACAGATAATACCCAGAATTAGGGATGATAATGGATTCTTTATATACAGTATATGTTGCGGGGTGGGTGTCATTTGTCAGATTTAGCACGCAATATTCGTCTGACATGGAAAATGCTGATAAATGCACAGTTTTGGTGGTGGTAAGCAGTATTTACAATAGATGGAATCACATAATTAATGGTGCCATGCATACGCCATCTATAATCTCGCATTCAAAGCAGGGCTCTGATATATGCAGCGGTTTAGGGAGGCGATGTGGCTATTGGGGATTGTAGCTGGGATTTGGCATATTTATTGTTCTTGGATATTTCCTGTCAACTCGAGTACCCTTGTAGCTATATGTTGCAAACTAATTCTCTACGGGGAGGAACGGACGAAAGGTACGGACGAAAGATATAGTGACATTGATCCTGCGCGATTCTATCCCGTTTAGGGGACGTTCTTAATGACTGGTATCAACTCGCAACCAAATTCGGTTACGGTGGTAACTCGACTATCTGGCTTGTCTCTGGATCTGAACTAGTTTGTTCTCTGCGTACTCTCCACTCATCTTAAGTAATGGCAGCTAATCCTTGGTTTAGATAGCGCTGGTTAAGAGAGAAATATGTTGCCCTCAAGATAAATTCCAGTGCCCATTATTCTCGAGAGAATGCCGCCTTTGCGAGATGGTAGAATGTTCAACTAATTGATCAAAGTTGAGAATCTATCCATTCTGGAGGAATCGGCCAGAGATAAGCACGAACATCCTCTGCCACAAAAGACTTTCCCAGATGGCCGCACAAAATATATCGGAATGACTTCGGTATCTCCGAAAAGACCACAGGAACAATCCAAATCACCGACTTCAATTTATTACGGGAATAGGCCAAACAGAGAGTGTAATAAGGAGGTTGATCCTCTCGAAGTTCAATATGAGCTTAACCATCTTGACCATATCGGAATTTCCGGGTTGCCATAAGATTTGCCGAACCAGCCTTGGGGCTCTATTGGAGAGATATTCGTAACAATCAAGCCGTCTGTCGTGCTAGTCTGGGAACGGACTTTATACGGCAGACGATGACCGTACCATTTCCTAGTTAGCGATTACTAAGTTTCTGCACAAAAACCCCGTCAAATTTGGCCAAATCGTCGTTCAAGATAAACCCCGCGTCAACATGGCCCACCAAGGTCCTCACCTCAACAAAATCAGAGCATAGCCCCAATTATTCAAACCAATAAGACTACTTTGAATTGATAACATCCGCAGAGTCCTGGTCCAAACCCCTATATAAGATCCCTGTAGTCTCCATATCTTCCAAGAGCCGAGGCCACCCCGGTTCCATCATGGCAGCCATTCAAGCAAGATGGACCAAGATTTTCGAGTCGGAGATCCTACAGCGATCCTCGCAAGTAGTCTCCATCATTGACAGACAAGTCTACATCTTTGGCGGGGAGTTGCGGCCGCGAGAACCCAGAGACAATGACATTCACATTGTTTCACTTGGAAACCGTGAGTTTCTCTATATTATCCACAAGCAATATCAGACAACCCTGATACCAGTACACACAACTAACCTACCCCATAGCCGCAACCCTAAATACCAAACCAACCAATCAATCCCCCTCACGTCGAGTAGGAACCGCATCAACAACCCTCAATGGCAAAATGTACCTATTCTCCGGACGAGGCGGCACAGCAATGTCACCAATAGACGAAAACGGCGGAATGTGGGAGTTCGACCCTAGCACAGACAAATGGTCACTCCTAGCACCATCTTCATCAGCCCCAGCATCAATCCCAGCAGCCCGTAGCTACCACTGCACGGCCAGTGACGGCAAAGACACCGTGTTCATCCACGCAGGCTGTCCAGAGAGCGGCCGTCTATCCGATCTGTGGGCGTTCAGTGTATCCCAGAAGAAATGGACAGAACTTGCTCCGGCGCCGGATCCCCCGCGTGGTGGGACGTCTATTGCGTTTGTCCAGGGCAGACTGTACCGGATGAATGGGTTTGATGGGGAGCGGGAGCAGGGCGGTAGGGTAGATGTTTATGAACCTGGAGCCAATATGTGGAGCTCCCACTCGTTTGTTTCGGACGGTGTGACTGGTCCATCACCGCGGAGTGTGGCGGCTTTGCTTTCCGTTATTGTTTCTGGTCGTGGGTACTTGGTCACCCTGTTTGGGGAGCGGGATCCTAGTTCCTTGGGACATCAGGGGGCGGGGAAGATGTTGGGTGACGTGTGGGTGTTTGATGTTGAGACCAAGCTATGGACGAAGGTTGAGGCTCAGGGAGACGAGCGTCCTGATCCACGGGGTTGGTTTGATGGGGACGTCCTTGATACTGGTAGTATCGTGGTTCATGGAGGACTAGGAGAATCAAATACTCGGCTAGGTGACGTTTGGACTCTCGAGCTTTTCTAAGCTTTTGAAGACTTTGGGTTTTGAGAGAATCTGAGATCCTTTGAACATGAACAAAAATGAAATTTTAGTAGAATTATGGCTGAAAAGAAGAGAAATAGGAAGCAATGGAAAAAAAAAAAATCAAAAGGAAATCGTTTGTGCTATGAGGTCTTGAATCGTACAATTGCCATATTCCCCCTTCCGCTCGCAAGAAAAGATAATTTGACAAGAAAAGGAAAAGTCAGTAAGACGAGTTGCACCATACACCAACACCATGAAGGAACGTCCTGCAAAAGGAAGAACAAAAAAAAGAAATCAAGTGACTGGCATCGCAAAACGGAAAACAAAAATCAGAATAGAAATTCACTGGGAGACCTCCGAGACACAAAAAAAAAAGAGTAGTTATTGTGACAACTGGCATCATGAACAGAAGAAGTGAAGGATGATCTGTGCTTGAGAACTTACTCATGTTCAGATCATTGCTCAGAACATGAGAGAGCGGGTTTTCTGTCGACGCGCCTCAACACTACCCATCTCGGGTTGAGAGTGGGTGTGCTTGTGTCGAGGACGGGGGGATTGAGGCGCTGGCGCCCCAGATCCCGCAGAAGATGGAGGTGGTCCAACCAATGCACTGTTTCGGCTCCGAACAGGAGATGGGACCCGGGCAGGTGCTGTGGGAATCCCACTGGGTGGACGACGAGGAGCAGTGTCATTGCTGGATTTCATGCTCCGCTCGCGCTTGAGCACAAGATCAGCCCAGGGCTTGAGTGCACCATTGCCGGAGGTAGAGCCCTTTCCAACAGCTTCAGACATGACTCGAAGCCAGCCATCCTTATCTGCGGGGCTATCCGCGTAGAAGTCAATCACTTCACCATTACCAAAGCGGATACGGAATCCCTCCTCAACAAACATGTAGCCATCTTCTTCTTCGGCGAAGGCAGACTTGCGGCGAGAGCCACTCTTCGTGCTGGTCTCCTTCTGAAGCAGAGAGGATCGATCGTCAATCAGCTTGGAGGCCTTGGCTAGGTTGATTGTAGCACGAGGTTGGCGTGTTGTTTCGTGAAAGGCCGTTAACTTGGATCCTTGAAGCTTGAAGAAGCGGCGGCGCCAGTACTATTGTAGCTGATTAGTATTTTGTCGCCGACAGAAGAGTTTATAAGCACTTACTGGACAATCTCCACCCTGTTGGGAAAGGAATCCTTCCCAAGAGCGAGCTGCAACACTCTCGGCATCACGCATTTCGCGAATGCAGGCGTTCATGCTCTTCGGCATGTCGTCATCCTTGCTGCCCTTGGGCTTAGGCACAAAGAGCAGTTGGACTTCCAATTTTCCAATCTTGTATGGTGGTCTGCGCTGAGTATTGATGCTAGTCGCACTCTTCTTGCTCTTGACGCTGCTCATTTGTTCCTCAACTGCCCATTCGTTGAAGCAAGCAACATCAACAATGTGGGGACGGCCAAAGGCCTGCTGCTCGTGGTCGCTCAAAGCCACATACGCGCGACCAAAGCTACCATCACGCGCAACCAGGTTGCGAAGCCGCTCGTATACAGGGGCATTGACATCCTTGGCCTTCTGTTCCTGCGACTGCATTTGTTGCTTTATGTCAAGCTCCTTGCGTCGGCGTGGGGATGCAAACACACGGCTGAGGGCCGACGCCTTTTGACGTGATGGGGATGATGCGGGTTCTTGGGTTTGGAACTTGCTTTCGTCAATCTTCATCTGCAAGGTCAACTGGAACTCGAGGTCATTCTGGACGATGAGTTCGAATTCCTGTCCAATGGGAGCAGACTTGCCCATCTCCAACCAGGAGGTGGTAACACAATGCAATCCATTATCCAAAGTCAGTGCAAAGTATGACCGTTCACCTAAAACTGGATTAGTAACAGTAAAGTGCCTTCGGTCGTGTGATTGAGTCTTACCACGTGGGAGAGGAAGGTCACAATATTTGAGGCCTACGACCTTCACAAACAAACGGCCGCGCTCTTCGCCATCTTCGAACGATTCGGGGATCGCTGGCTCGTTCTCTTCAATGGTCGCGGGGGCTTCCTGAACATTGCTTGGTTGCCCAGGGAGAGGTGGGACTCCACCAGCACCAGGGACAGGCTTTTTCTTCGGGATACCGGTAGCAGCTTTGATACTTGCGCGGCGCGGCGAACCATTCCAAGGGACTGTGGTCCAGGTCTGCTGGCTAGGTTTGCGTGGAGAAGATCCAGCAGAGCGTGTACCGCGCGGGTCTGGGGCAGTCTGCTCGGAAGAAGGCGCGGCTTCTTCTTCGTTACGGCTGCTGGCAATGATAACTTTGGTGTTCTGTCTCATGAGATATCCTCTCTGTTTGTGGGTAGCGGGGTTAGCGGGGTGTGCACTATTTCCTAGGGTCGCGAGATCCTTTGGTGCTGTTGCCTGGTAAGGCGGCACAGAACCAGGGGGTTGGGAAAGGGCTAGGTGAAACGCAACCTTTTGGGATTCAATAACGCGATCAAACTCCTTATCCAGTCCAAAGCCGAGGCTTTCTTCCTGAATACTGAAGGGAATGTCAAGCTTCAAACAACTGCTTTGTCGTTGGGCGAGATCCGTGGGCAACGCCAACTTCGGTGGCAA